ATTCTAAAATTAGGAGGCATGTGTTTACACCATAATTTGAAAGAAGAGTTGCAGGGATTTGGAAGCTCCCGAAATCATGTCATCAAGAAATCAACTGCGTGGAGATCGGAGCCAGTTGATTCGGACGCAGCACTAGAATCAACTTTCTTCATATATCGCTAGCAGATAACGACAGAGGCTACGATCGGCGCTGGGACGAGACATGCTAGACTCTACAAAAAGGGAAAGATTAGAGTCTAAGTTATCTTAAATTAGGAATGTTTTCATTATACCAAAGATTGTATTGAGTCGTACTCGAGTAAGGTTCGTTTTTAGGCTCCGGGTATAAATACCAAACCCCGGCTATTGTAAAGGACACAATCAATCAAATACAAGTCAATTACTTTTTTTTGGCTCCGGCCACCCCTTAGGAGTAGGAGTAGAGTAGATCTCGGTGAGTTCTTCAGCGAGTACGGCTGCACCGATCTGGTCGGCCTCCACTGCTTGTATGTAAGTACCGTCATGGTTTATACCTCTGTTCGTATGGCTACATTGATCCGGTCGACCCCCACTGTGACTCTGGTATAGACTAGTTATCGACTCTTGTCTAATTCAAGTATGGCCTGTGTGATTCTGCCTCACACCCCACTGCTTGAATTAGATCAAAGTCAAGTTATTGGCTCTATCTTAGTATGACAGTCTATTAAGTTACTGATATTGCTTATTGCTTTCATTGTTTATCTAATTACAACAATATCACTCTGTCCGATTGAGATTGATCTGAATCGGCCTTATATCTTATTTAACTCATCATTTGCTAATCTAAAATTGATCTAATCTACATCTTAAGCGATGAGTTATGTGTTTATCGGCTGTTTTGCGTCAATCTTAATCGTGCATAGCGTGCGGTTAAGCCATGTTCGATCTCGAGTAGATCTATTAGTTAATGAAAACCGTTCTATGGCCCGTCATCACGGCCTGTGGGATTCTGTCTCTCACCCCACTGTTGGCACCGTGGAATGGGGATCATTAGTTGGTAGACCCGTTCCTGAGAAGGCATGACCTTAACTGTGCGCTATGCCTGAATCGGTTGTTTAGCCGATATCGAGCGCTTTCACGAACAGTTCACATTACGAGATCATTGAAGTAGAGATAAGTTAAAAGATATGTTAGCCCCATGATCTTATTATTGTATTACGTCCTGTATGATTCTGTCTCATGCCTCACTGATATTAGTAATGAGTTAGGATCGTCAAGTCTATTGTTGTTTCTACGGTCTGCATGATTCTGCCTCATGCCCCACTGGTCATGGCGATAGATGAGATCTAACATGTTCATTAGATTTATCTTTATTAAATGGTTAAGTGGTGTTGAATTATTTTTTTATATAAGAGGAGTTCGATTACTTGTAATCATTGGCTCAGTATAAACCAATCATCATTGATATTTTATTGCCATTGATTAATATTTGCTTAAATAATATTTATCCTGAATGATAACCGATTCTTCTTATACAACCACATGAGCTTTAATCGATTTATTCTTATGAATATGCTGGAATCGACTATTTAGTCGATCTCCTCTCATATCGGCTCTCAGAGCCGCACATTCGGGACTGTCTGGCAACACCGGCACGTTCCGCCCTTAATTACTGATGAGCTTTCTCTCCTTGTCAGTTGCAGGGTCAAATTGATTGGTACGTCTCGGGAGGATTGCGCAGGATCGACCACCCTTGCGCTGAACCTAGGCGGATCTGCTCCATCAATTGCTGCGTGTGTACTCGACACGGAGACGAAAATTCTGTGTCGACAGGATCCGATCACGGATGAGAGTAGCGAACTGCCCTTGCCGTCGACGTCCGAACGCCCAGTTAGCTGGAATGAGGCGGTGCTCTGCGCCTCCACCGGCGGCACCTGCGACCACCTGGACTGTGGACGCGGGCATTTCCTTGTTGTGTATGTGTGCAAGTCCGAGACTGGGATGTTTGCCCATGTCTACTCATCGGAGACTGCTACATGGAGCGAGGAGATCTCTGCTCAGAACCTCCATGTGAATAATATATATGCGCTGCCAAGTGCCCTCGTAGGGAATGCTCTCTACTTTGTGTGTAGCGCAGCTGTCCTCAAGTATGACCAGGCTGCACGAGAAATGTCTCTGATTCACCTGCCATGGGATTGCGTCAATGAGCGCACTATACTCAGAATAACAGAGGGTGGTCGACTGGGACGCGCTGACATAAGCTCAGATGGACTATACCTTTACCTATGGTCAATGGAGGTTGGTCCTGACGAGGATGTAGGATGGGCACAAAGGAAAGTAATTAAGCTTAGAAAATTACTTCCTGATGTCCCCCTACGCTCACTTCATTTGGTTGGCTTCGCACATGGCCTTGATGTTATTCTTGTGGCGTCAAGTAAGGGCCCCTTTCACTGTTGACCTAAAGTCCGTCCAGGCCACAAAGTTGCACGGAGAAGATTGCTGTGAGTTCTGGTTCCCCTACATGAGCTTCTACACTCCAGGTACTAGAGTAAGACCCAGGCATCATGTCTATCTTTCTTTAACATTGATATATAGCGTTGCTTATTATGTGATTTACTAATATTCAGATTGAGCATTATTATTTCATTTAGTAATATGAAGTTTTGGATGATGGTATTTATGCTCAACAGCTCAAGCAATATGAGTTAATGAAAGTGTGATATCCCAATTACATTTAAAGTGTGATGCTCCTGCTGTCCTCCGCAACAACTTTTTTTATGGACCAGATCCATTAAATTGGCTAGACATGCATAGGAGCTTTATTGTCTTCCATCCGTCTTGAAAAATGATTTAGATTGGCCATTAAGGTATCCAACAGAGAAGAAACCAAAAAGACATAACCTGCATGGTCTTCTGCACATCTAGATATAAACCTCCCACATATCCTTAACACATTTGCATTCTTTGGCTGTGATCTATTGCCAATGTAACTCAACAATATATGTGCATGGATGATGATATTATACTGATAAATAGAGGTGTCTCTCAAGTTATGAGTCCATGTCAATAGGAGCTTTCATGGATGGTTAGTACCAAAATGTTCACTGAGGGAAATCAATCAACTGATGTTAATTTCAAAACTATGCATTTCTGCAGCATTGGGAGTAGCCTCTGCCGAGGGATCAAGAACAGGCACCTCAAATGCCTGATAAACATAAGGTTCTCCATTTCAGGCTGGTCGGTCGAGGTTAAAAGGGATGACCGTAGTGGTTAATAACTTATTTTTATGTGGGACAACTCTTTAGCATGAGTAACATTAGTCATGATCTAAGTTTGTTGGACTTCAGGGGTTCTGCATTTTGTGCAAGGGATTGCATCTCTTATGTCTGTTATCTTGATCATCACTGTGAAGTTTGCTTGGGACCCTGTATTATCCTACTGTACGTGTACTCCTGAACATTAGCTTTAATGAAACCCTTGAATGGTTGAATGCATATGGTGTCCCCCATGTTATTAAAAAAACTGTGCTAAAGAAAATGAGCACTTGAATTTAAAAATACCACACTCCCATATGTGCCATATTATTCCTGCCCAGTTTTAGCTTGGTTCATTATCTTGTGGCTTGAACATGAGAACTGAGGAAATATAAGTAGAACTGGGAAAGAAATTAAGTATGCATGACATCTTTTTGTGCCATCATGATCCCGGGGATTTGGATACTCTCCAAGACTCAGTTAAGCTTTTGGTAAGCACCAATGGGGAAAACCATTTGGACACAATGTGGAGTATATGAATTTCTCATGAATGAACAATTCATACATATATATATATCCTTTAAAATTTCTATAGTAGGATCAGGCCTTAGCTGTAGGTACTGAACATTGGTACACTGATTACTTAGCGAAGACAACATGGAAAGACTGAAAGGGAGTCATGATATTTCAGATTCGAAAGGAGCCTCACATCAGTGGTCACATATTTTTAGCACATTATTGATTATTGTATATTTTTTGTGGGGTTTTTTTAATATAAGCGCGTGTTCAGTTCCAAAAATAGTTCCAAAAAAGTGCTACAGTACCTGTCACATCGAATTTTGCGATACGTGCATAGAACAGTAAATGTAGACGAAAAAAAAACTAATTACACAGTTTGGTTGGAAATCGCGAGACGAACGTTTTGAACCTAATTAGTCCATGATTGAACACTATTTACCAAATAAAAACGAAAGTGCTACAGTACCAAAATTCCAACTTTCCCTCCAACTAAACATAGCCTAAACTTCTTTGTAGGAAGATTGATAATTCCTCTTGCATTCAAGAGCAGTCTATCTCAAGGGTTTGGACGAGTATGACATGAACTGATCAGACTAGACTCCGTGTGCTGCTTTTCTGATTATTTTTAATGCTTTCAGTTGGTTCTGTTTTGGCACGTAGAGTACTGCCAGAAACAGAGGACGCACAACTCAGTATCCTTTACTGTAGCTCAAGCTTGTTCACTTCACTAAGAACATGATAATTTTGTGGTTACGTTACGAGGCAAAAATCCAATGGAGACTGTGAATAATATATGCACGAGCGATGAGCTGAACTAATATGCTTAGGCCAACCAACGTAATCCCAAATCGCAAATACAACAGCATAGTCGCATTTGGAGCAGGGAACGTGAAGACGATGCTATACGTGCATAAGTGTCTAGGTTTGTCCTAGTCAAAACATAAATTATAGAGATTGGCAACACAAGATTGATTTTATTAGAATCATGATGAGAAATGTTTTCACAAAATATGAATCTTGTGTTACTAATTTATATAATTTATGTCAAAACTAAATAAGTTTGACTCAGGATAAACCTAGATGAACTTAAATTTGTGATCGGCGGAAGTAACTAGTTTCATCTCTTGACGTCAAACAATATTTGCTAAAGCGTGTGTATAGGACACGTCGTATATGATGTACATGCGTAGGGCATGAGTAGTGGCGGTGTGCGTCTTCTCCGTGTAGCCTCTCAAGAAAAAAAAAAGTTTGCTGATGCAGTGGCTTTTTCTAGAATAGGAAGTAATTCCGAGACAGTGGTACCGTGGGTGCTGGTTGGCATGTCAATACCTCTCCATCGGCAGTCACTGTGTAGGTCTCAGGGTCGACTTCTATTTTCGGAAGAGCATCATTGAGCTTCATGTCAAGCTTTGTCAAACAGCGAACACCGCTAACAGCTTCCACCCTCTTTTCTAATTTGTACTCCATTGCAACACCAGCTTCTTTAGCAGCCTAGGGATTGAAAATTGAGCTCAGTCATTGTAAATTGGCAAGAGTAAATAACAAGTTCGAAGCATTTTTTTTGTTCCTTTTTACTTGATGTGCAGTATGTTTCCTGTAGGCTGTAGCCATATTTCTTAAGGAAAAACCTGTTTTTCTAACACCTTCATGTGTAGTATGTTATATTTTTATCATTTTGAAAAGTTACGAAAGTCATTTTTCTGGGTTGAGGTAGAACCAAACACTACCTTGCTCACAAATGCAATTGAATTGGAACTTCCAGCCTTTCCAAATGCACCAAACATAGGTCGCATCACAACCTGCATCAAGAGAAAAAAGATAGATGTTGTAACCTGAGCAAACATGTTATACACACACACCATGTTCAAATACTTTAAAATAGGGTGCTACACCATGCTTCTCAGGCTCTTACCAAACTAAACTTGGTTATAGTGGACAAACTTTTAACATTTACAAAAGGTCCATTTCACTAAATTACACTATTCAATTTGTCCACTTAAACCCCTTCCTCCCTAAATAAAATACAGACTCATTTAACTCCCCAAAACTAATCAGATTTGTCAATTTAACACATTATGAGGCTTCAAATCCTGCCACTCACCATGCTGCTGAGGCATGCGATCGGGATCTCACCAACAAGGAAGCCACCAACGCCACCCTTCGCATGCAGGCGATTGCCATCCTCAACATCAAGGTCCTCGTCCCTATGACCTTGGAGAAGTCACCTGACAACTATGGCCATTTGCGCTTCCTCTTCATCGTCGTCCTCGACAAGTACAATCTCAAGGATCACGTGATCTCCGACAACTCCTACCCCAATCGCTCGGTTTGGGCGACCATGGACGGTTGCATCATCTAGGATCTACCACATCAGCTCCAATGATCTGCAGCAGTCGTTGATGCTTTGGAACCCTAGCGCCCGGACCGTGTGGCTCTACCTCGAGGATGAATTCCTCAGGTAGTGCGAGTTCCGTGCCCTGCTGCTGGAGGCCGAGTTTCGCACCCTCAAACAGGGCGTCCTCTCCATCACAGAATATTGTTGCCACCTAGAGACGATGGCCGCCTCCCTCGCCGACCTTGGTGATCCGACCGACGATCGGCAACTGGTCCTCACCCTCCTTCGTGGCCTCAATGGCAAATTTCGACACATGGTGTCTAACTTGAAGACGTAGCGGTCGTTCCCCACATTCGACGCGGTGCGCACGCTGTTGCTCCTCAAGGAGATCGACATTGTTGATACCACAGACGATGACCCTCCGGTAGCACCACCGGCGTTTGTTGCGGCACCACCGCAGCCGTCGCCGCGCCTGATGCCACCGGCCCCTGCCGGTTTTGGCGCTACCTTTGGCCAGCGCAACACTCGTCGTCATGGACGTGATTGGCAAGACCATCGATGGCCTTTGTGGTCCCCGTCCTGGTGGTGCCCCATACCCCAACGCGTAGACTAGCCCCGTGCCGCCCCACGCCAACCCATGGTCTAGCATGGTGCAGCCCTAGCCTCATAGCTACACTGGTCTCCCTGGCTAGACGCTGCCCCCTGTCCTCGTTGTATGACCACCCCAGCCGGCGCTCCACGTCATGCCCTACCCAAGGCCCTACTACCCGACGACGCCCCTGGGCTTCACATACGGGGGAGGGGTCCCTATGCTGGCCCTACCCATGGAGTCTTCACCAGGGCTATAGCAGCCGCCAACACCATGGTCACCCATGTCTAGTGGCTCCTAGGATCAGGCGTCGCTCATTAACAACTTCAACATGAAACTCTGGCAATGAAAATTGGAGTGTTGTAGTTGGGCCTCTTCTAGTAGAAGTAGCTGTTAGATCTCATTGTCCAACCAAAACCAAATAGATGATGGATATTCTCGCCCTTTGTATACAAAAGAGTTCTAAATGATAGGTCCATGGTGTATTTGTAAGCGTCCAAGGGAATATTAGGAACATATAAGGACTTGCTTGTAATTCACAATCCACTGGGGCAACAATCTCCCCTTCCTATAAATAGGGCATAAGGGTTTAGAGGTTGACTTGTGGCCATTTGATCTCTTTCTTACTTTCTCTAATGTTCTTCTCGCTCTCTCTATTTGGGGATAAATCACCAACAACAAGCAACGATTACTAATAATCACCTCGTAGCAACACTTGTTATATAGGAAGTAGTTTTCAAACAACCCAAAGTAGATTTGAAGATCAGTAGATCACTGAATCTAAATAGACTTCATAAAATAGGCTTTGTTTTTAGCCAGTCATGAGAAGGAGGTGATTAGAGGATGAGAAATGTCAGCATAGATAGCCATACTATGAGAGGCAAATGTGTTATAGAATGTTATGAGTTGTGTTTGAATGCAATTTGCGATGTAATAGAACAACTTAAGAGTAAAAGACCAAAGCCAGATGAACTGAGGCATCTGTCTAAAATGATCAGTTGAGAGTTGGTTGGTATAGGAGCCATCTAAAGGAGCATTGGGGAATGGGTCACGGTGAAGCTTTAAGTACTCAAGAATGGGAACCCAAACCTCGGGCCAGCTGTCTGCTTGATCATAACTGCAGTAGCAAATCGGAAAACAATGAAACTACGGGGGGAAAAAGAATGCTACATATGTTGATATTGCCAAGGAAAAAATGTTGCTGATGGATTTAAGTACATTACGTGTTCCATGTTGTCATATCTAAAAGCCTAAAACAATGTCCTTTAGAATCCTAGGTATTCTAAATGTCCTTATCATTGCTGTCAGAATTTTGCAAGGACCATATTGATGCATTTTTGTTTATTTGTGTCTCATGATGATCCGAGCCTATGTACTTTATAAGTATATCCTATGAGTAAGATCTTATCGGGTTCAGATAAGGCCTTACCATTCTTATGCATGAAATAGAATAAGAAAGGATAACTAAGCTCAGATTTATGGGCACATTTAGCATTTTTTTCTGTGCAATATTCCTTTTAATTTTTTATATGCACAAATAGACACTGAAGGACTAGGCACAAAAATCCTTTAAACCACTCGATGATATTATGGCCTGCCAAAAAAGCAGTTTTGACGGTTGATGTCAAGTTTAGTTACAAATTACTATATCTACTTATATCAGCGACTTTCCACGTTGTTGGCTCATTGAGCCGAACTAAAACAGATTTCTTATGGCAGTAGCCTAACTATTCTTAGATTACCTCAGTTCAGAAAGTGGTGAAGCCGGGCCGGAAGAGTAGTGAATCTACATGTTGCAAGGTGAGTCGAGCGCAGCGCAATGCCTATCCCCACTCCTCTGTACCCCTGCTCTCTGGAACATACAGGATAGCACCGATGAATGAACTGAACAACATGGAGATATAGAGAGCGGCCTTTTGCGTGATCGAGAAAAAAAAGAATAGCGGCAGCGGGGGATCTACCTTGTAGGCTTGGTGGAAGAAATCAGTAGCGAGGCCTTGGAGGACGAAGACGTAGGCGGGGCAGGAAGCCTTGTAGGTGTAGAGGAAGAAAACGAAGGGGCCTTTGCGGTTGAAGACATTGGCGGGGCAGTTGGAAGTTTCCATGAGGGGTTGGAGAAGGAGAATGCCGGGGCAGATGAACTCGACGACGGTGAAGTCGGCGGCGCTAGGGTAGGAGGCCTCGACGCTGAGAGCTTCCCGCATCTCCATGAGGGTTGGAGAAGGAGAATGCCAGGGTGAAGGAACTCGACGGCGGTGAAGTCGGTGGCAGCGGGGTAGGAGGCCTCAATGCTGAGAGCTTCCCGCATCTCCAAGCCCGCGCGGTCGCGGCCGCCAGCCGTTGGGAGGTGCCGTCGCCTGCGCGCTTTGAGAGCTACAGTGCCAGCTTTACCAGGTCCATGAGGATGGAAGGGACGACAGTGGAGGGGATGGGAGAGGCACCGCGGCGGCAGCGGGACCATTGTGGAGAAAGTGATGGGTGGTGATTTATCAAAGTATGCCGGTTAGGTGTAGAAAGAAAAAGAGCATTTCCTCTTATGCCACTATGAAAGATATTTTATTTCTACATGTCACTAAAAAGTTCACATGGATCTTGATGCTATGACGCTAAACTCTTTTGTCCAACACGTCATTCCATTCAGTTTTGCTCCTAACGGTGGGTAACGACGCAACCAAATAACTTAGATGCCCTTAGACTTGAGAGGCTCTGTGAACTAGTTGATTTGCTTCTGTGCCATTCCCAAGCCAGCTCCAGGCTGAGCGTTTTGGCGCCAAAGCCAGGGTTGTTGGCGCCAACTGAGCCCCTAGGCTTCTCCTCCTATATATAGGTCCTCAGCCCTATCTATTGTCACTCATCCAACTTGAGCTCTATCTCCTTCACCTCTCTCCTGCCACAGCCATGTCTCAAGCTTCTAGCAACTATGGTGGTAGGGTTAAGCGGGTGATTTGCCCCAACTGTCATGTGCTTTCCAATCGGTTCATCTCGATGACTAGGAAGAACAACAACTATGCCTTTCACAAGTGCCCCTATTTTGTAGTTTGTATTTCCTTCTCTGCTCATTTTTTTCTTTGCCTATTTCTTTTTTGCTGTTTGGTGACAATGTGTTGATGCTTTGGGTTTTAGATCGGAGGCTGTCAGTATTATTAGTGGGAGGATGAAATGGAGGACATTGAAGTACAGACACCTACAACCTCTGCTCCACTATAGGCAGTTCCCCTACAGGTAGTGGCACCACCTGGTGGTTTTCCTGCTGTAGCTCCTCTGGCCATCATCCAGGAAGGTTCCCAGACTGCTAGAGTTGCACAAGTGGAGAATAGGATTGACAATAGGGTTCTACAGCAGCTTAGGTGGATTGAGAAGATGGTCTATGTTTGCATATTTCTTGCTTTGTATGCTATTTTGAAGAAGTAGGTGCCTATGTGTGTGTGAGTAGTCATGGATGAATGGATGCATGGATGAATGAATGAATCAATGTTGAATGATGAATATGAAGATTGTTCATTTGTCTAGAATGCAACAACATATGAGAACAATATAACAACAATTAGAGTACTGCAACAGTAAACAAACATTCATCACATAACAGCAGCTACCTTACTGTTTTCATCACAAAGGTTTCATGGCACCAACATATCACCAACATTCATCACATAGCAGCTAAGTTATTAGTTTTCATCTACAACTAAGTACTGTCATGCCATCACAGAACATTCATCACAGAGCAAAAGAACAGTCATGCCATCACATAGCAGGTGTTTTTCCAGAACCACATCACCAAAAGAATATTGAGCAGGCACCTTTCATTGCAGCTAGAGCTTCTTCTTTCTTCTGATATTTGAAGCAGGGCCGGCTGGGCTGGATGCTGCAATTTGGAGCTTTTTTGGTGTAAGCTTCTTCTTGATCCCTATCTTTCTCCTTGGTGAAGCCTGGGGCAGCACAGTCTCTAGTGGCTCTGTCTCTAATGTAATGAAGTCTTCATGGAAAGGGGCTAGGTACATAGTTTTGATTGGAACTAGGTCATTGAAACCAGTTCCAGACCTTGTGGCAAAAAGGCAGAGTGTGCTTTAGCATTAGCAGTCATAATAGAAGTGCTGTGATCAATTGAAGAGCTGGTAAACATACCTGTTAGACACACTATTTGGACCTAAGTTTGAAGTAGTAGTGGTAGCTGTCCCCTTGCTCTTCTTGGCACCAGAAGAAGAAGATTTCCTCTTCCTTTTCTTGTGTGTAGCATTGACCACTGTCTCATTGCGTGAGAACACCATCTGGAATGGAGTAGCAACCATAATGCTAGTCTCTGTGTTATAGCTTGCTGCTTTTTTTTAGCCTTTTCTTTGAAAGACCCCTACATAGAAAAAGTTACATTAGTTAACTAAGTTATTGAAGCTGTACATGTATATACAGAGTAATTTAGTTACATAGTTTACCTTTCAGCCTCCATTGCAGCTATATCTTCTGGATTCTCATTGCAAAACAGTCAAGTAATGCACTTATTACATGCCACACAATGCAACAAAAAAAGGGAGCAGTCAATGAAAACAATATACTAACACATTACCTTAATAGTGTGCCCATCCCATAGAGTTGAGGCATGAAGTCTCCACCTGTAGCCCTCACTCTGCTGTGAGCAGTTCACCCTATACCTCATTGTATCACTCTTCTCAATGTCATAGTTGAACTCATATTTAACAGCATGAGTAGCTAAAGCAATCTTAAAAGCATCCATGTCTGAATACACTGTTCCTACTGACATAGGAGGGACCTTCTTGTCATAATCAACATTAGACATATGTTTAGGCTCCCTATCTTTAACCATATCATCTATGTTTTCTACTTCATCATCAGAGAATTCATCATCAGAGTCTATCTTAGAGGATTCATCAGCACCAAAACTCTCACCTTCCCATTCTTTACTTCTACCTTGGCTCTGAGGATTGGGAGGAGGTGGGGGGTATTGGGGACCAAGGTCAATATACGCCCCTTTCTCATCAACACCCACATGCTCATTCATTGGGTTTGGGTTAGCCAGATATTCAGGTTCAGCAGATTGAGTGTGTATGGCATGGCTTGGTTCTGCTAAGCTTGGACAAGCAATTGAAGGGGTCAATGGGGGTTCAACAGAGTTCACAGTGCTACCAGAATCCCAATCATGAATCACAGGGAGCTCACTACTTGGGCTATGATATGCAACAGTCAACAAGCAGCATTTGGAAGCCTTATGTTTTGCAAACATTTCAACCAAATCTTGGTCAGTGCAGACTTGGATGTTCACTTTACTATCCATGTAGAAATTAAACAATCTCACTATATCATCGTAGTTATGAGGATACTTGTCGACAACTTCAGCAACCAGGTCTGTGAAGTTAGTACGGTCAGCATCCACGACTTTGTTCAACGAAAACCACCGCGCACGAGAATTGGGAGCAACAATCCGGATTTCTAAGTTGTAGCTACTTTCTGCGTCCATCCTATAGATGAACAAGGAGCACGCAATCAACACTACAAAAACGGAGCACAACGCAGGGCACTAAATACCAATCAACACTACAAACACGGGGCACCACGAAACCAAGGGGGAAGCAGTGAACTCACTCGTCCGGAAGCTAATCCGATCGCTCGCCCACGCCCTTGTTCCCCGCCATGCCATGCCTATCCTCTGGATCCACGGTCGAATCCACGCTCCACTACCCCATGCACCGCCACAAGCACGGGGGATTCGTCGTCTTCTCTCCCAGCCGCCGCTACAGCCTCCGCCGCCGGATCCGCTGCCGCTAGGGTTTCTCCACCGCTAGGGTTAGGGAACTGAGGGAGTCGAGCGAGAAGAGAGAGTGAGATATTGAGGGAGATGTCGGTCAATATCGGTCAACACAACCTCCACATATGCCTGTGACTAAAAGGGCAACATGGACATTTTTCCTGCCCGGTCCCACATGTAAGAACTGCCAAACGGTCAAAACCAAATAGAATGGAGACGAAATGTCATATTGGATAAAAGAGTTTAGCGTCATGGCACCAGGACCCGTATAAACTTTTTAGTGGCACATATGAATGAAGCGTATTTCATAATGGCACACAGGGAAAAAGGCTCAAAGAAAAACCCTGGTAGGTGTTTATGGTTTGGTGTTGTGGGCTGTGGTGCGCATCTCAGGCACCGTCCCCAGGCCCAGCCCAAATCACGGTCCACTAGCGGTTCCGTCGGCCCGCCGCTCTCCTCCTTCCCTCGCAAGGAGGGATCTGGGCTTCTCTTCTCTTCTCTTCTCTTCTCTTCTCTTCTCCGTAGCAGCATCAGTACTGTACTTCTCCGCAGTCCCCATTCATCCCCACCACCTCCACTTGAAATTGAAACTGAAACTGAAATCAAATCAAACCAAATCGAGCCGAATCAAAGCCGTCCTCCACCTCCCCAACCCCAACGAGCGAATTCCGCTGCGGATTGGAGCCCTCCTCCTCCCCCCGCATCTAGGGTTTCGCCCATGGACCCCGGCGCCAGCGCCGGCGGGGGCGGGAGCGGGCGCTGGGCGGGCTTCGAGCGGGCGTGCCGCCTGCCCAACACCGTCCACTCCGAGGTCCTGCCGTCGCTGCCGCTCCCCACCCTCCCGCGCGAGCTCGGCTTCGACGCGCTCCGCGACGACGAGCCCCTCGCCGCGCCCGACCGCCCCGACATGATCATGCAGGCCGCCGACATCGCCCGCATCCTCGCCGACACCGACGTCTCCCACCTGTGAGCGAGTTCCCTTCCCTTCCTTCCTCGCCTCCTCATTCCCCTCGTTGCTAACTCCACCCTCCGTCCTTCCTTCCGCAGGGGCTTCACCCCGGAGGACAACGTCGACGTGGATCCCAGCCGGTGCTCCTGGCTCTGGAGGGAGGTGCTCAAGCACAACCCCGACGCCTTCAAGGTCAAGGCGCCCGGGCCTTCTTCGCAAGGTAAACGCTCTGCAAATTGAGCCTCCCTTGGGTTAGTCCCAGCCCCAGCCAACCTAGCTACTAGTACTGCTACTAGCTAACTGATTTCTGCTCATTGGAGTGAACATTGTAGCCTGTCTAGTTCCCAGCTACTGCTGCTGCTGTATGTATGACTAGACTTGTTAACGGTACTTTGCAATGGCCTGCCATGGACTGAACATTTCTTAAGTTGCTGTATCCTGCTGCTGCTGCTGCTTAGCACTGCCTCCCTGATGGTTTGGTGTGTGTGTGTCTGGCTTGCTGCTATTTGAAAGGTTTCATTTGCTGTGCCACTCGGACGTTACATGGGCTGCTGGATGTGCTGGACTACCTGAGTTTTTTTTGTGTGTGGGTGTGTGTTTGGGGGGGTGGTGGGGTGGGGAGGGGGGCTGTCCATGGTGCACTCGTGCCATAGCCCAATGCTTCAATGCTTGCGTTACTTTTTTCTCTCTCACTATGTTTCACTGTTCTGAAGCATTTAAAAGCTTTGAATGGTGGTTGATCCCAGTACCTGGTTCGATGGCTTGTGTGCATTGTCATTAAGGCCCTGTTTGTTTCCGCTTCTCCCAGACACGCTTGGATTATAATCTAAGCGAAGATTTTCTCGCTTTTCGCTTCTCGTAGTTCAAATCTCTGAAGCGGCTTACCACATAAGCGAGAATCGGTGGAAATAAGCAAAGCGTTTGGCGGGATTCTCGCTTATTTCCACCGATAAGCCGCTTATAAGCGGAAACAAACAGGGCCTAAGGCTAAGTTAGAATAAGCGGGAAGTAAATTTTGCCCTAATTATTATGTCGCAATGGCTTTCCAACAACGAAGCTCGTTTTTTTTGCTTCATTTTTTTAAACAAACCTTACGCCTTGTCATCCAACTACTGAGCTTCTCTTTCTTTAGCAGTTCTTTTGATCTATCTCAGCATGCTTGTTTCTCAAATCTGGGATGCTTGAATGTTTGTAGTCCTTTCGCTGCCTAATTGGATGTGGATTTTCTCTGTAAGAGGTCCATGCTATGTATGACTATTTGATGGGGACAGGACTGTCTAAAGTTTCCTTTTTATCCCACAAGTCCCTGTCCTGATTCCCGAAACATTGGTTCAGCTGTAAAAAAATTGGCATGCCTTGCTAATGTATCATCTATCGGATCATCAGTATGCAACAAATTGCACATAAGAGACCAAGCTACAATAGACAAGTAGGGCCAATATAACCACTAGTGAAGTTAGAAGGACTAAATTGCTACTTTCCCGTAATCTATACATCCTATTTTTAAACGAGTTGTTCCTTCTATTACTGCATCCACCAACGCAAATTGCACTGTACCAACGATCAGCTGGTACTGTTAATTTGCTTTATATACAACCCCTTGGCTGTACTGCATCATATGCGTGCTGTTTATAGGAACACATCAAGCTCTAGTTGGTAGTTGGTACAATAGGAAGTTTGGAACAGCTCTGTTGTAGCCTTGCGGTTTTGTGGGTGCAACCATTATGTGTATGCAATATTAAATGCATGTAATCTTCTCATTACTTGCTTTATGTTGTGGCCTATATTTTTTTTGTGGAAACAGCAAGTTCATGACCTTCTTAATATTCAGATTTCCAATTTTGTAGGATGTATAATATGTTTCTAACTTAAATACTTAATTCAATTCCTTCTATCAGACTAGAAGGTATGGAAATTTGCTCATTTGGCATTTTGTATCTTGGCAATATTGTGCAGACTTGTTATTGCTGCTCTCTATCCTTATTTTTTATCATGCCAAGCTATCAAACTCAAAACCATTGTGCAAAGTTTTGCTAGGCGCTAGGCGAAATCTAGGCGATGACCCTTAGCCTAGCGACTAGTCCAGCCTAGGCCAGCCTAGGCGATGCTAGGCGTTTTTCTAGGCGTTTTGCCAATTTATATTTATATATCAATATATAATATATACAATTATAGGCTTATAGCACAAATCATGAATAATTTAGATAAAAAATAGGGAAGGACCAGTAGACATACCTTAGGTCCTTTGTCCTTAGTTGCAGTTGATACATGTTGCTTCAACCGATAAATCCCTCCTTGCATCACCTTGTCACATAGTTTGCACTTCACCTTGTCCTTGTTGATAGCATCAACAAGAACCCCATATTCCCATCCCACATCATCCGAATTCCTTCTCAGGAGATTCGCTCCCTCAGTTTCAGGTGCAACCTCTGTTGTCGACATCCTATACATATACATACATTCAGATTTCAGTGACAATACATTCAGAGTTAAGTGAACATTCAGGCAATACATACATGTAGCAAATCAGCTAAAAAAATCAGTCACACATCCTACAAATGATTCAGTCAAACAAAGATACATACATGCAGTCAAACAATGTTTTTTTTAAAAAAAAGTGCTAGCTTGAACCAAGAGAAAATTCATGGTAACTGCTTGGTCAATTTGTTTATCAAATAAGAATCATCACTTCAGAGCACTCCTACCAAGTTCAGACTGTGGCATGTTGTCATTGCAGCATTCACTTGCTTAGTAGTGCGGATCTGATCAATACTCCTACCAAGCAGTTAGGGAACAGAGGAGAGGAGCAGGGAACAGAGGAGAAGAGCAGGGAACAGAGGAGAGGAGCAGGAGAGGACCTTGGGCCTTGGGGCTTCAGCTTAGGGAGGACGAGACCGGCAGGGCGGAGCGCCTGGCGAGATGAAGAGACCGGCGGGGAGGAGCTTCCAGGCGGGGCGGAGCGCGACCGACGGGACCACGAGCTTGGCGCGGAAGAGCGCGGCTTGCGGGACCACGAGCTCGGCGGGGAGGAGCGCGACCGACGGTACCACGAGCTCGGCGGGGAGGAGCGCGGCCTGCGGGACCACCTACCCAGCGAGGAGGAGCGCAGCCGGCGGGAGCAGCTTCCCGGCGGGGTCGCAGGGAGGTGAGCGGCCGTCGGAGAGCTTCCCGGAAGCAAGCAGGCGTGTCCTTTTCCCCCTTCTCCCTCTTATCCTTCCCGCGCCCGAGCCTTCTTTTCCCGCGCCCGAAGCCAGATGCGTGCGCGCGGTCGCCCGCGGCGTCAATTTTTCGCGCGCTCGGTCGCCGCGACCGCCTCCGCGCCGCCTAGACCGCTTCAGCGCCGCCGAATCGACGCCGAGGCGCCGCCTTGCGCCGCCGAGGCGCTCCGCCCGCATAGGGGTCCGCCTACCCCCGTAGGCCAGGCGGAACCCCTCGCCTTGCGATTAGTCGCGCCTAGGCAGGGATGAGGCGTCGCCTTTTCGAACATTGCCATTGTGGTAGTGTGCTTGCTAGTTGAGTATCTGTCTGCTAGTCCTATGGTCTAGTAACATTATTGATGGGGTAATAATTTTTCATGTTTAAATAATACGAGTCAAAACAGCTTCTGTTTGATGATAGCAAAGCATTTCTATGGAGCTGCAAATGCTTTTGATTTTGTAAGACTTTTTTTTATCTTGCCATATGTAATTTATTTATTACGTTGGTCAAGTTTTTCAGGTCCATTTGGAGGCCCAGGATATCAAAATCAAGAACGTGAGAAGCACTTTGAGCATCTTACACCTAATACGAGCAAAGCACGAAATGAATCTGCATTTCCTCAGGATGAAATTGGCTCACATAGAGAGCGTTTTCATGTAAGTTAGATACCACCAGTTTCTTATTGATGTCAGTTCCTTTCCTTGTGCTAAGGGGCTTTCTGTTGTAGAATGAACTGACCCCGGATTCAATTGCTTCAAAGAAGCCAAAAGTAAGGAAGAAAGAAATTAACAATTCTGTTTCAAGTTCTGCCCCCAGCATTCCTAATAGTCAAGGTTTGTTTCTATTGATTTGTATATCCTGCTCATGTAGCTTCCCTTTATTTTTTTTTTCAAATTCTACTGACTCTGGTTATAATTATGCTTTTTAGAAGTTATTGCTAACTTCTGTGAGGTGGTGGAGGATTTCTGTGGAAAAGCCGAAATTCCCGACGATGGAGATGGCGGTGACTGGTTGTCAATCCCACTTAATGATGTTAAGGTTCTTGTGAATGAAATTACATCTGTTCGATCCAAAAGGATATTGCATGAGGTTCCTATGGATACAGTTACAAGGTTATTAGATGTGATTGACCGTCAGATTCGATGTTCTCAAGGTTTATCGATAGATGTGAAGGAAAATGTGAGTTACTTACCATATCATAGCAGTTTACATTTTTCAAATTTGCATTTAATTTGATCTTATTCTGTTTCAGATATGATTTAGTAAATTTCTTGCATGTTATAACTTAGCAACTAACAAGTGCTTGGATACCTTCAGTCTGATGCCGTTGATGCTGAACCTCTGGTTTTCTCTGCTTTGGAGTCCAGTCATGCTGCGTTGGCAATTATGACCCACCATGATATGCCAAAGCAACTGTATCGAGAAGAAGTATGCTCACAGTGAATTCCTTTCTCAGCTTGTTGTGAAATGGTATTGTTATGGTTGCTGACTCTTTCCTTCTTTGCCCCCCTGAAAAACAGCTTATTGAGCGAATTATTGATTTCTCAAGGCATCAGATCACAGATTGTATGGCAGCAAGTAACCCAACCTTCCGAGCTCTCTACAAACCAGCTGAAAATGTTGCAAACAATGGTAATATCAAAGTACATGCTGATATTTCTTTTTTTCCCTTGAATATGTAGGACAGCTGCATATCATTGCATTATTTGAGTAACAAAAAAAACATAAGTACATGGGTAGATCATAACCACTCGACAGGGTACACTTGTACACAAACAAACAGTTGAAACATGGACACCGCAGAGCGGGTAGAAAAATCACAAACTAGGATCAGAGCCCCTAAGCTCCGTTAAGCCTTTCCACCCTTGCACCACATTGCAGGCTCTTTGTGAATTGTACGCCAGCCATGCATTGCTAAACTGATATTTCTGTCTTTGGCTTTTCATGATTGTCGAGCCACATTCCTTTATAAGTTGGTTACATGCAATTCTCTGTTGTATATGTTTTATATGCCTTTTTGTACTGTAGCATTTCATGAGTGACAAGCTTTTATTATGCTTGAGCCCAACCAACCTTTCTGCAATAATTTAGTGCTACTCCCTCTGTCCTGAGATAAAAGAGATTTCGAGTTGTCCTAAGTATGAAAAAGTTTATCAAAAAGGAAAATAATATTTACGACATCAAATTAGCCTCATTAGAAATATTATTAAATGCCAGTGTTCAAAAAGGCGCTCTTCCTTGCTCGGCTAGGCACGCCTCTGCGCTGGGCGGAGGGATACTGCCTTGCCCATCGGCTGGCGGTATGCACGCAGATCCACCTAAGGCAGGGACGTGTGCGGGTGACGCAGACGTTGGGTGGTGTTGGGGGAGGAAGGGACGTCGGGCAGAGGTCGCCGGTGGGGGAGGAGGAAGAAGACGAGATGCAGCAGGCAGCAGCAGTGGGACGGGAGCAAGCCAGTGTCGTCATGGGGGAGGTGAAGGAAGGGCGAGGTGAAGAGCTGCCACCGTCGGAGGCAGGAGAACCATCGGGCGGGACATCGGGAGAGAAGCAGCGGGAGTTCGGGAGGGAAGCATCGGGCGAGAGAAGAGAAGTGTCAGGAAGATAGGCGGATGAGCAGCGACTGGCGGCTGGGGATGGGAGAGAAGCATTGGCTGTTAGGGTTACACACTATATATATGAATGAGTTGGACTTGGGCTGAAAATACTGCTGTTGGGCTTCTTTTGGCCTGCTTTGTCGGTGCATAACGGGACTCTCTCTTCAATAAAGTCCACTTATCTCTTATTTCCTTCTCTTTTTAAACATATATGTGTGTATATGCTAACGCCTAGAAAACGCCTAGGCTCAACTAGGCACGCCTGGGCTCTAGGCAGAGGGTCACCACCTAGAGAGCGCCAAGTTCCTTTTGTAACCTTGTTAAATGCAGTTTCATAGTTTACCTCTTTGATTTGTAGATGCCAAAACTCTTCTCTATAAACTTGGTCAAACTCAGGATAGTTTGACTTAGGACAAACCTACCCTTATATTTCAGGACGGAGGGAGTAGCTATGATGATCACTAGTGATGACTAAACTTGCCTTTTGGAATCAACTTGTACATCACACATTTTTCATATATATATGTATCTTTCTCTTTTGGTCAACTAGGAGATGATGATGAAGATGATTTGGAAAATGGACAAGTTAGCAAAAGGAGACGTACTGCTACTAATTTGAGCATGAGGAAATCTTCAAACAGGTACATGATCAATGCACTTAAAATATTTTATTGTTTCTGGTTTGTAATGGGGCACTACCGGGCACTAATAGTATTCTATTTTCTTTTTCTGTTTCAGAGTTTCTGCTTCTGTTTATTCTGCTGTGCAGAAACTATGCTTGATATTGGGCTTTCTTAAGGAACTGCTCACAACAGTACGCTTGTCAGATAGTTGTATTCTGCAGTTAGCGAAAACATGCTTTACTACATTCTTGGTGGATAATATGGAGCTATTACAATTGAAAGCGATTGGGGTGATTTGTACGGTAATTTTCTGCCTATTTGCTCAATCTTTTTTCTGCACATTCAGTTTTCAAAGAATTTGCTCACATTCAAATCCTTGCACAGGTGTTTTCATCATATACACAGCACAGGAGTTACTTGGTTGATGAAACACTTCACCTTCTTCGCAAGTTGCAGTTTTCCAAAAATGCCGTTAGAACCTACCATCTAGCAGATGAAGACCAAAAGCAAATCCAGATGATAACAGCACTGTTAGTTCACCTGGTTCAGTTTAGTGCAATTGTTCCCGATAGCTTAAAGGGAACAGTTGATTGGACCACTATCGTTGATGCCTCCGGTGATGCTGATTATTATCCAATTAAATGCCATGAAGTGGCAACAGAGGCTTGTTGCCGTTTTTGGACTGATGTCCTTCAACGTTTTACTGCTGCTAAATCTCAAGATATGTCGGAAACCAAAGGAATAATAGATAATCTTGTTCAGGATTTCCTAACGATACTAAATTTGCCGGAGTATCCAGCTGCTGCTTCTATTCTTGAGGTAATTTTGCTCAGCAGTGCTGTTGCTATATCTGTGACCTTAAATATAGGCATGAGCTGGCATTAGTATTACTGATTCTTGAAACTTAGGGCATGATTGGTTGGGTGAATCCAGCCCAGCCTGGCTACCGTGATGCAGGATTGGGATGTTTGTTTGGCCGGGGGAGGCCTTGGTGGATGGGTGGGTGGGTGGGGGAGGGTGCATGAGGTGTATATGGGCCTGGTTCCGCAGAAACTAGATTGAAATCCGTTTCCTGTGGGCCTGGTTGGCGCAGTGCAGCCTGCAAGTGTAGGTAGGTAATTGGTAGCTAAACCTGGCCCACATGCAAGCAACCAATCAACTACCCAATCCACCCTGGCCCGAGTGAAGCAAGCAAACCAAACAAGCCTGCTTGCATGCCCACAGGCTGGTCATGCTCAGCATGGTTACGATCCACCTTCAGGCCACGCTGGGCCATCTAAGCAATCACACCCTTAATATTACTGGTTTAATTACTTTGTTAAGTGTTTTGCATGGCCCTCAAATACTATTTTATATATGTACAGGTTCTCTGTGTGTTGCTGCTTCAGAATGCTGGATTGAAATCTAAGGACACTAATGCTCGGTGCTTTGCTATTGATCTTCTTGGTGGTATTGCATCAAGACTGAAGCGTGATTCTGTCATCTGTAGTGAGGAGAAGCTTTGGATATTGCAAGATCTCACTGTTGCAGGTAGTGATGGCTCAAAAATCTTGAAAAACAAGTGCTGTGTTTGTCTTGGTGGAAGAGGTATAAATATAGCCTGTAATGAATGCGGAAGATGTTTCCATTCAGATTGTATGGGGGCTGGTAGTCAGGATAACTTACAGCATGATAGTGTCTGCCCCTTGTGTTTTTGCAAACAACAGCTCAATGTTCTACAGTCATACTGCCAGTCACAAATTAAAGAAAATGGCAAAAAAGCTGCTGCCTCTGCTAGTAAGAAATCTGCTAAACCAACTGAGGTGCCTGCAGTGGATATTGTTCGACAAATACTACTGAGTTATCTCCAAGAAGCTGGTCCACAAGATGATGGGAACCTGTTTACTCGATGGTATGTTGCATGGAATGTTTCGTTGTGCAAGTGTCTTTGGAGAATTATAACCATTTTGTATGCAGGTTCTATCTGTGCATCTGGAACAAAGAGGACCAACATTCTCAGGAGATCATCTACTATCTCGCTAGATTAAAATCCAAGGAGATTCTGCGAGATTCTGGCAATGGTCTGGCAATTTCCAGAGATTCAGCAAAGAAAATTTGCTTGGCACTTGGTCAGAAGAACTCATTTTGTAGGGGTTTTGATAAAATTCTTGCCCTTCTTTTGGTATGTGGTTGCTTCCAGATACTTCAGTTTAATCTATATGTTCTAGAGTTAATTCCCAATGCTTTTCAGGCTAGCTTGAGAGAAAATTCTCCTGTAATAAGAGCAAAAGCCTTACGTGCGGTGAGTATATGTGTAATCTATGAAAGTATTTGTGTAACCCATGAAACTATATGTTTTGCATCTTTCTCATTTAGACATCATTCATCAGTATCGAGGACTTAACTTCTCTGTAGGTCAGCAGTATAGTTGAAGCTGACCCTGAGGTCTTGGGTGACAAACGTGTCCAAGCTGCTGTTGAAGGGAGGTTTTGTGATTCGGCTATTTCTGTTCGTGAAGCTGCCCTTGAACTTGTTGGGAGGCATATTGCTTCACATCCTGATGTGGGCCTGAAGGTCAGTAGACATATGACATATCAAGTTACCTTATGACATATTTGTGGGCATCGATATGGTTTACTATGCATCTTCCCATCACAGTATATAGAAAAAGTTGCTGAGCGAATAAAGGACACTGGAGTCAGCGTTCGCAAGCGTGCAATCAAAATTATAAGGGATCTTTGTGCTTCAAATCCGAACACGGACACAACTCATGCCTTTGTGGAGATAATTTCTCGTGTTAATGATGAGGAGTCCAGTGTACAGGTGAGCTGATAGCCTGATATGAAAAACAATTGACTGATGTCATGAAAATATATTGTCTTGGCAGATTCATATGTGAATGCAAATGTTTTGTTTTCTTTCATTGCCTATTGTTTCAATTTTATTTGTAAATAGGTTGATTCTTAGGTGTGTGTATGCGCTTAAATATTTGCTCTCATGCGTTAGTGAAGATAGTGTAGTTACTTAAAATATTTACATGTTAATTGGGAACTCCCTTGCATCTTTTGCTTTTCCAAATAACAAAACATCCTCATCTGGGAAATTTAGATAACACAAAAGGAAAGAGGAAGTTGTTAATGCACATCTTTCTGCTTTTTTCCCCTATTTAGCCATACGTAATCTCCTTACACATGAAATAATTTATGGCACCAATCTTGAAGGCACACTATTAGTCTGGTCAATCGTTTTTGTGGTTTCTCCTTGATGCCATAATGGATAACACCGAACATACTTTATGATATTACAGATTACAGAAGAACATGCAACATTGTTGGGCCTGCAATATTTATGTTGCTTTCGATCACCAATTGAGTTAACATAAACTATCTTCATTACTTCTGTAGGATCTTGTATGTAAAACATTTTATGAACTATGGTTTGAAGAACCAACTGGGAGTCATAAGCACTTGGTTGCTGATGGAAGTTCAGTTCCAATGGAGATAGCTAAAAAGACTGAGCAAATTGTTGACATGTTGAGGAAGATGCCCAATCACCAACCCCTGATTACCATCATAAAACGTAACTTGACTCTTGACTTCCTCCCTCAGTCAACCAAGGCTGCAGGGATTAACTCATCCATGGTGGCATCAATTCGGAAGCGTTGTGAATTCATATGCAAACGCTTATTAGAAAGAATACTGCAGGTACTTTCTGACCCAATCTGATAGTGAATAGTTTGTGTAATTGATAATTTGAGATTAATTCTCGCACATCTCTTTCTTGAAGGTTGAGGAGGGAGCTACTAATGAGATGGAAATCCACGCGCTTCCTTATATTGTTGCCTTGCAAGCATTTTGTATTGTTGATCCCACACTCTGCATTCCAGTAACCGATCCTTCTAAGTTTGTTGTGACACTACAACCATACGTTAATATTCAGGTGAGCATGGTTTGCGTCAGTCGAAGTTTAGGTTGTCATCTCCTATCAGAATAGAGGTTCTTGTGTTCTTGCCCCTGTTTTCAATCCCAGTTATTACCCTCATTTTGCTAACTTTACGATTTCGCCCCTGTTTTTTGAACTGAAGGCAGCGTTTACCCCTATTCCATTAAGTCCACTTAATGGTGTCAACTCAGCTATTAAAAGACTAGTTGGCTCATACGAATTGCCCCTACTTCTTTGATTACTATGTCATTTTGCCCCTATTTGGACATTTAGAGCATTTGACAGATACCAAAACAATTTTGATGACAAATCTCAACAAAATATGCATACATTTCAAATTTGAGCAAACTTTGACAAAAAATTAATTTTAAAAGTCTGAAAGTGCATGAATAAAAAATTAAATCTCACCCAAAGCAGGTGGCAAAATCACAAATCACAAACTTAAAAAAACAAGGACAAAATCGCACTTGGTCTTCACAACAGGGGCAAGGACACTATTGTCGCTTTATTTATGACAACCTAGGGTTTCATTGATGCTGTGGCTTCATTGCTGCACATTCGTACCACATCATACTGTTTATCACGCTCCTCTGCTAATTGTGCTGTAGACTTGAACCTATATGTCTATATGTTCGAAAATTCTGGTGTTTTGTGGTTGGTTTTTGACTACACATATACTGTAAACAACAGAGCTAGAGTTTTGATTATTTTTGTGAAGTAGCTATATTCTTGTTGATGTGATCAACTAAAACATTTGTGCAGTGTGAGTTTGTATAGTCCTTTGCTGCTACAGTCAAAATTACAGCAAAAGTAAATTTAATAATTTCAGTTAGTTCTGTGCACAATTACATATCTGAGCTATCTTATTTGGAACTGAATGCAAGTTCATTAATGTCTATGATTATCAGTCATAGTTTGTCATTTATTTCTCCCCTACCAATACAATTTCATTTGCTCCTGACCATCTATATCTACAGGTTGACAATAAATCAGCTGCCCAGTTGCTTGAAAGTATTATTTTTGTGATTGATGCTGTTCTTCCACTCATAAGGAAGCCGCCACAAAATGTTGTTGAAGAACTTGAGAAGGATCTGAAACATATGATAGTTCGCCATTCGTATTTGACAGTTGTACATGCTTGTATCAAGTGCATGCATGCCCCCCCCCCCCTAATTATTGTTTGATAAGCATTGTTTCTCCCTATGTTCTATTTGGAGTTGAGAATTCATTTCATGAGTTCATATGCTATTGATGTAATTTAGATGGTATTTGTCGTTCTGATTTTTTTTAAAATTCTTTGTATACTTTTTATGTACGCTTTGTTATTTCATCTCCCTACTCTCTCTTAAGTCAACAACGTCCATATTTCATCTCCAATACTTTCTCTTTTGATCACACTATCGGGATAGGCTTGTCATATTTCTATCTAAGCTAAAAATGAGCAACAAATTGCGGAAAGTTTCAAAGAAAACTAATGCAGTGTTGACTATCGTGTGTATGTCATTATGTTGAGCATTTGTAAACATTTGAGCATAGTTACTAGTTAGTTATTGAATATCTTATTCGTATATTAATCATTATTCCTATATTGTTGGGGGGGAGGGGGGGGGGCTGATCTAGTGCAAATTAGTTCTAGATGCAGTTTTAGCAGCATCAGTTTATTTTATCATTGATAATTGAGCTCATGTGTTTTTTTTTCTCTGATCTTCTTGCATTCTTGCCAGACTTGCCTTGAACATTCTTGTTTATTTCTCTCTTGCCTTTTTACAGGTGCCTTTGTGCTCTGAGCAAGTCAGCAGGTAGAGGTCCAGGATTACTGGAAAACCTTGTTAATATTTTCTACAAGCATCTGTCTGGAGCTAGTTCAGATAGTCAGGTATTCCATTTTTTGATTCATTGAGTGAGCTGCAATCTTACGCAAATGTGTGGTAAAAATGAAACTTATTTTCACATAGTAGTTTTTTTTTGTATTATGAGGCCTATAATTATTCCATTTATCTATTATGTGCAATTGAGGACAACTGTAGAAGTACATTTATTATTTATCTTGTATATGTATTGGGCATGAAAATCACTGCTTCTCTCTCTACCAAGCTCTGTATGCTTGCAATCTCTCTCTCTGTTTCAAACATGCAGCTTTGCTATGTTTAGCTGATTGTATTCATTCTGGAACTCAGCTGCTGGGTCGATCACTGTTTTGTCTTGGACTACTCCTTCGGTATGGTTATCAATTGATGCTAACATCTGAAAATCAGCTTGATTTTCCCAAGATTATCAACTTGCTCCAGAGAAAATATCTTCTCAGGGATGACTTCAGCTTGAAGGTTCGAGCTTTGCAGGTGTGTGTGACCACTTGTAATTCATTAAGACATAAAATATCTGCTTGGTGATGGGATTATCCGTGCCTAGCTGTGTTCAATGTAGTTTATGGTGTGATTCTATGTGACTGGCTGCTCACTTTTGAATCTTGTTTACAATCTCCAGATATCTGTACATGGTGATTAGTCGAGTTAGGGTTTAGAACTCGTGACATTATTTATTTGAGACCCATAGCAACTGGAACTAGCATAGATGACAATGCATAGCAAGTCACCTGTCTACATAACTGTTGCTTTGGTTGTTACAGGGTTGCAAATTTTATTTTATTTTATTTTTTTATGAACTGTTCCCTATAAGATGCCAATTTCCCCTTGTACATTCAGACTTTGGGATACATACTTATTGCGAAGCCTGAATTTATGCTACAAAAGGATATGTTGAAACTCATAGAGACAGCACTATCTTCTGAGGTTGATTATAGATTAAAGGTATGTCATTTTGTAATTGCATCTTCTTTTGGTAGTTATTTTCTTTTTGAAAAATTGAGTAAATTAATCCACCTGCTCAGATTCAAGGACTTCAAAACCTCTATGAGTATCTCAGAGATGCTGAAAGCCAACTTACTGCTGAGAGTACTGCGAAACCTCCTGTACAGTGTGAAATAAATGGCGGAAGTGAAGTGCCTGTTGCTGCTGGTGCTGGAGACACCAACATATGTGGTGGTATTATCCAATTGTATTGGAGTTCTATTCTTGATAGGTGCTTGGATACAAATGATCAAGTTCGCCAGAGTGCACTTAAGGTGAATTAAGCAGGCATTATATTTCATTTCACGCTTTATCTTATCATTTTACAATAGAAATAAGTTATTCTTCTTCTTGTAGATTGTTGAAGTTGTACTTCGCCAGGGTTTAGTTCACCCTATTACCTGCGTTCCTCACCTTATAGCACTTGAAATGGACCCGCTGGAGGGGAACTCGAAGTTGGCTCATCATCTACTGATGAATATGAATGAAAAGTAAGTTGGCCCAACTTTCCATACTTATTTGTTTTATTATATTTGGAATAAAACACTATCTGATCAGTTCAAATTTGTTTGCAGGTACCCTTCATTTTTTGAAAGCCGCTTGGGTGATGGACTACAAATGTCATTTAAATTCTTTGAATCCATAGTCAGCAACCATAAGATGGCAGCAAACATAAAATCAAATCCAATTGCATTTGTCAAACCTGGCATATCTAGAATATACCGTCTTATCCGTTCAAATCGAAATTCCAGAAACAAATTTGTCCACTCGATAGTTCGGAAATTCGAGTCTGATAGCCGGAGTCGCAGCACAGTTAGCTTTCTTGTGTAAGTAATTTAAGTAAAAATACACTTGTTGACGCTCTATTCTTTGATGAGGTATTGACTGTCATTTTGTCTACATATTGCAGATACTGTGCTGAAGTTCTTGCCTCCCTGCCTTTCACATGCTCCGATGAACCACTTTACTTGATCTATGATATAAATCGAGTTATTCACCTTAGAGCTGGAGGAGTCGAGGGCAATTTGAAAAGGTGGACTTCTATGTCTCAACCGCAAGATACGGCGGGTGTGACAACATTGCCAAGAGAGAGTCATGTTGTCATGCAAGAGCCTGGTGGATATTACGATAATGTGGGATATGTCCCTGAATGGGTGAATGACAACAATCCTTGCAGTACTTCAGACGTGGCCAAAGTGCAGGTGGATGTGGACATGACCAAAGTTCAGGTGTGTTATGTTAGAGAAGTTCTGGGTGGTAGGGTTCATTATTTCGATTGATCCATCAGGGAGGCTGCTGCCCTGAAACCTTTTTCATCTTACAATTTTCACTAACTTTTTTTTTTTTTTTGCCAGGGAGATTGCCATGATGCAATAGCCCTCCAGCTACTACTGAAATTGAAGAGACATTTGAAAGTTGTTTATAGTTTAGATGATGCCCGCTGTCAGGTATGGTTTGCTCTTTATTTGGAGATTGGTACTGCTATTATGGGTGCATTTACATGAGACATGGTCTGTTTGTGTTTTAATACAGGCATTTTCTCTAAAGGAGCCTCCGAAATCTGGAGAAGCATTCTCCAGGCAGAATGTTCCTTTTAATATTGGCAACACTAACATCAGTCTGCCGAGCTGCCTGCAGGATGTAGCTTCTGTTTACCAGGTACTAAATAGTGAACTTAAGATTCCTTGGCAAGACAAAGCTGTATAGTTTATGGTTTGGTATCTGGCATGTACTACTCTCTTTTTTATTTGAAAGATATATCCTACCCTGTTCATGGTTGACGCTGATGTGGTTTGGTGGACATGATGCTCAGGATTTCAAGATAGCACTCCGCGAAGATTCCATGGACTTTGCTGTGTTCATCCCTTCAGTCCAGACTAGGAAGCGCCCAACCCCAAGAAGTACGATGAACCCAACCCCAAGAAGTACGACGAGAGTCAGGAGAACGGCTGCCCCGAGTGTTACAAAAGCCCGTGGTGGTGCACGGGGTGATGATTCTGATGATGCTGACGATGACGACTGGACTGGGGGTCCAAGAATGCTCGACTTCAGTGGGGGCGGCCGTGTGACAAGGCAGAGGGTCCAAGTATGATGACTGTTCTTGGTGCTTTTGTACATTCTAGGGAAACCTATAGCAGCTGACACAAGAAGGGTTAGGGCTGAGTTTTAGGTTTAAAGTTGTTTAGGGTACATAGAAGCAGAAAGGAAAGGAAGATAGCTTTTTACTTAGATGCCATTGATTTGGAGCACTCCTTTTCTTGCTCTGCCCCTGTCCTGTTTGTAATTCCCGTCGGGCTTTGGCAAAACTGACAAACGGGTTGTGCTCCGGCTTCTGATCTTACTCAATGGGAATGAAATTATTCCTTCTGTGAAATGATTCCTTTGCCTGTAGCCTATGTTTCGTGTAATTGCCCCGCTCGCTGATGTTGTATCTGTACGTGTGCTAAGCATTTTTTTAGTTCATAGTGCTTGATAATATACAGCTACTAAGCCTCATTCCATTCATGTGTAATTCTCCGGGGAAGAAAGGAGCTCGCTACCTCCGGTAAAAGAGTAAGCTAGTTTGATGTTGCTGCTAGCTAGTTGAGATATATTTTTTAGTTGATTTATTATGAATTATTGAATTGTTGTGTAGGTATGTAATGCTACGAAGCCGGCCTCTGTTGGTCCGGATGGACCGCTCCCTCTCGTGGCCAGGAGATGGGGCCGTTGCTGGCCGGGCCACGTGCCACCATCCTGGGTCGCCCGCTGGCCGAAACCGGCCGTTCCTCGCTCTGCTTCGTGTGTTTCGGAAGAAGAATGATGGGTTGAAAAACGCATATTGCAAGCATATTTTTCAAGTGTTTTAGATGTTTCAAAGGTATATTGTAGCGTTTTATATGGATGTTGTAAAAATAGATCGGGATGTTACAATGGTTGTACACGTATGTTGCAAACTTATGTTCACAATGTTTCATCTGTTTTTCCAGACGTACGTTGCAAGTGTGTTTATTTGGATGTTGCATATATTTCACACATATGTTGAAAGTGTTTTATCTGGATGTTGCATATGTTTTACAATGATTTTCAAGTATTTTTCAGGTGTTTTTTCAAGTGTTTCAGATACATGTTTAGTTTTGCTGCATTCGTATGTTACAAGTGTTGTATCTGGATGTTTCAAAACTAGATGAGGTGTTATCTTCATCCTCGCTTTCTATTGCCTCCGGCTCGATATCTCCTCCATGCGTCGACTGGGCATTCGTCGCCCTCTCTTTTCTCCGTGCTGGTGATGTCCGAATGGTAGCAAGTCCGGTGTATACGTGCTTGTCGTAGGTTTCCACTCTCCAGCACGATGTTCTCTCTCTCTCTCTCTCTTTTTTTTTAGCAGAAGCGTGATGGTCTCCTGGTACAGTGGAACGGTAGTACCACGTTCCCTTCGGTTGGGCTGGTAAGCCTCCTGGCCCATTGGTGCATCGCTCCACCTTGCCGCGGAGCCCGGCCGGCCCGGCGGATGCAGAACGCGTGCGAGGGCCCACACGTCAGTCGCGTAGCCGCTCAGGGTCCACCCGGTGCGGTGCCGACTGCCCCTCGCCTCGCGCGCCGGAACCGGATCTCGTCACCGCCCTCTGTTGTTTGTTCCTTTCGGATCTCGTCGGCGCCGTCCCTCCCACGCTGCCCTCTGCCGCCGCCACCACCACCTCCTGCGCCGGCGCTCCTCTGCGACGCACTTCGCCTCCGGAGCTTGATCCTGTCTCCCTTGCCTCCGCCTCCGCCTCCGCCTCCAGGTAGGAGGAAGTCGTCGCCTTCTTAGGTCAAGCCTGAGCTTCCTGACTTGTGTCCATGTGTAATGGTCTTGCAGATGTGACATGCTTTTCTAGTCCCTCGGAATAATTAACATCGATTACACAATCATGGAAGAGCAGCAAGTTAAGCCATCGGATCTGCCACCCACTAGTTCGGACAACCAGGGTCCAGTTGCAACTCCTCCTGTTACCAGTGCTGACCCTGTTCGTCCGGCTGCTTCAACTGGTTCTCCCAGTCAGGTTGCCGCTGCAGCTCCTGCACCTATCGCTGCTCCTGCAGAAGATGCTGCAGGGCGTGAGGCGCCAGCATCCGTGTTTTCTGCATCTGGTTTATCCTCCTGGGCTAAGAACCTGAAAATTCCCCAGCCTTCATCAGGTCAGGAATCACCTACAGGAAAGAATACCTTTGCCCGTTTAACAAGTGGCTTTGGACTGCGTATGTCTCCAAAAGCGGCACAGCAAGATGAGGGTGCTGAAGGAAGCACCTCCCCAACAACAGGACAGCCTGGTGTTTTTGGTTCTTTGACGAAAGGCATTGTGGATTCCTCTAAGAATGCTGTAAAGGCAGTGCAAGTCAAGGCTCGCCACATGGTCTCACAGAATAAAAGACGATACCAGGTACTTCTAATTCTACATGGGAATCGAAAATTTGACATCTTCAAATACTCGTCATTCAGTTCTCATAGTGTAACATAACCAGGATACAATCACATAAGTGTTCATTCATCACCTTTAGTGATGGTAAACTTGCTGCATTATGTGCCTGTGCCAGTGCACATTAATGCTAATGACTGTTAGCTTAGATCTATACTATAATCTATTTGCTCATATCTAACTTGCAGCAAGTTTGTACACATTACTCAGGTTTTTCTAATTCTCGCATTTTGTGTTTCCACACATGCTCTCAATATCTATTGGTCCTACGCACATGGTAGGGTGATGCTTAGATCCTAGGTGACCTTGTTGAACGTTAGTTTCTCAATCAGGGAGATCTTTCTTTGTGCCTGATGATGATAACAAATCATCACTTCTATGTAGCCTACCCCAACTTGTTTGGGACTCAAAGGCTTTGTTGTTGTTGTTGTTGTTGTTGTTGTTGTTGTTGTTGTATGTAGTTTGATATAAACACTAAGGGCAATTGGGGAACGGAAAATTTACTCACAGGAGCAAGAATCATCAATTTGATGCTGCTGATTAACCTTTTTATAAACCATGTGGGGTTGATTGTTGTCATTGACACCTGAAGGAATTGTACGTCAGATCATATTAGTGATGATCCTTTAGTTGATTAAGTTTTGTAGATTTAATATAATGGAAAGGTGTAATGATCTGATTCTGCTACTTACTCAGGAAGGAGGATTTGATTTAGACATGACATATATTACTGAGAACATAATTGCTATGGGTTTTCCCGCTGGTGATTTGAGTTCAGGGCTTTTTGGATATTTTGAGGTCAGTTTACAAGCGAGATTCTGAAGTTTCCTTAAAGCTTGTTTCCTTTCATATGCTCTCATAGAAAAAGGGAAAGTAATACTCCATTGCAGGGTTTCTACCGCAACCACATGGAGGAAGTCATCAGGTTCTTTGAAATGCACCATAAGGTAACTTTTGCTTGTTATTAAGTTTCTTAACATAAATGCTTCCCAGGTGACACATTTCATGTTGTTGGTTATAGTTTATTGCTATTCTTGTCCATTTTCCTACACCACCATACCTTGAACTTACTGTATTGTCTTCATGTTATTAATGTAGCACGAGCCATATTTGGCAGTCAAGGACTAGGTTCAATAGAGCAAGCCACTTCATAGCTCATCCTCTGATAATGAGACATGAATAACTTTAGAAGGATATTATCGGTGTTAGAGCAGTAGGAATGCAATGTATACAACAACAACAACAAAGCCTTTAAGTCCCAAACAAGTTGGGGTAGGCTAGAGTTGAAACCCACAAGAAGCAATCAAGGTTCAGGCACGTGAATAGCTGTCTTCCAAGCACTTCTATCTAAGGCTAAGTCTTTGGGTATATTCCATCCTTTCAAGTCTCCTTTTATTGCCTCGACCCAAGTCAACTTCGGTCTTTCTCTGCCTCTCTTCACGTTACTTTCCTGGCTTAGGATTCCACTACGCACCGGTGCCTCTGGAGGTCTCCGTTGGACATGTTCAAACCATCTCAACCGGTGTTGGACAAACTTTTCTTCAATTGGTGCTACCCCTAATCTATCACGTATATCATCGTTCCGAACTCGATCCCTTTTTGTATGACTGCAAATCCAACGCAACATACGCATTTCCGCGACACTTATCTGTTGAACATGTCTTTTCGTAGGCCAACATTCTGCACCATACAACATAGCAGGTCTAATCGCCGTCCTATAAAACTTGCCTTTTAACTTCTGTGGTACCCTTTTGTCACATAGGACACTAGATGCTTGCCGCCACTTCATCCACCCCGCTTTGATTCTATGGCTAACATCTTCATCAATATCCCCATCTCTCTGTAGCATTGATCCTAAATATCGAAAGGTATCCTTCCTAGACACTACTTGACCTTCCAAACTAATATCTTCCTCCTCCCGAGTAGTAGTGCCGAAGTCACATCTCATATACTCAGTTTTAGTTCTACTGAGTCTAAAACCTTTGGACTCTAAAGTCTCCCGCCATAGCTCCAGTTTCTGATTCACTCCTGTCCGGCTTTCATCAACTAGCACTACATCGTCCGTGAAAAGCATACACCAAGGGATGTCCCCTTGTATAAATGAATAATCTGTTTTATTTGATTTGACTACCAAATTCTACCGAAACTAATACGGTTTGAATTTTTCCCCTCTATCTGTAGTTTCTTCATTGTTAATTTGAACTATAAATATGAATGTGCTCTGATTTTTTTTTGGTTCGTATTCGATGCACTTCACCCCAACAGATCATTTAACAACTTACTAGTTGTATTAAAGAACAAAACTGAGGACCTTGGCACCTGGTCCCAAACCCGGGTGCTCACTTTAGGAGGGGATTCCCTCCGTTTTCCATGAAGGAAAAAAGAGAAAAACTGTCAATTTTTTTTTACATGATCATCTTTCCCATAATTATTATACATATTAACAATTTCATAATTTCATAGAATATGCATGTTTTTGTCATGAAATGAGCACTATAAGACCATTTGGTTTGGTGCTTACTTAACACCCCCTCTCCTCTCCACACATTGCCCTAGATTATATGCTTATACATTTCATCTTGTCTAATGAGCATGCTTTATTTTCTCCCCATGCATTTTCAAAATTCCTTTCCCCTCCTGGTACGTGTATTGCCTTTTCCTTACAAAAAGAAAGTTATTGTTCTTAAGTGCATTGTTTGTCTATTTAGTTTCCGGTATTCAAGGAGTGTGGACAACATAGAGAAGTACAAGGTGGCAAAGAAGACTGCAAAGCGAGCTGTAAGTGTGGCAAAGGGTAGAGCGTACGAGGATCTTTACCAACATTTGAGTACGAAGGAAGGAGAGAAGGACATTTATAGGATGGCTAGGGTTCGTGAGAGAAAGACAAGGGACTTCAACCAAGTTAAGTGCATTAAGGATGAAAGGGAGCATCTCTTGGTGAAGGAGGATGAGATCCGACATCGATGGCAAGAGTATTTTGACAAATTGTTCAATTGTGAGAATACGGACACAACCTTTCAGTTGGATGACTCTTTTGATGACACCAATAGGTGTTTTGTGCGGAGAATCCAAGAATCTGAGGCCAGAGAGGCGTTGAAAAGGATGAAAGGAGGTAAGGTGATGGGACCGCATGGAATCCCAATCGAGGTGTGGAGATGCCTCGGGGACATAGCTATAGTATGGCTAACCAAGCTGTTCAACCATATTTTTCGATCGAACAAGATGCCTGACGAGTGGAGAAGTATATTGGTACCGATCGATAAGAATAAAGGGGATATTCAAAGTTGTACTAATTACCGGGGAATTAAGTTGATGAGCCATATTATGAAGCTATGGGAGAGAGTTATCGAGCATCGCTTGAGAGCAATAACGTGGGTCTCTATGAACCAATTTGGTTTCATGCCCGAAAGGTCAACCATAGAAGTCATTTTCTTAATAAGACAAGTTATGGAGCAGTATAGGGAGAAGAAGGACCTATACATGGTTTTTATTGACTTAGAGAAGGCTTATGATAAAATACCAAGGAATGTTTCATGGTGGGCTTTGTACAAACATAAAGTCCCAACGAAGTACGTCGGGTTCATTAAGGACATGTACAACAATGTTGTGACTAGTGTTCGAACAAGTGATGGAGACACGGATGACATCCTGATTAGGATAGGACTATATCAAGGGTCAGCTTTGAGCCCTTATCTGTTTGCCTTAGTGATGGATGAGGTCGCAAGGGACATACAAGGGGACATCACTTGGTGTATGCTTTTCGCGGACGATGTAGTGCTAGTTGATGAAAGCCGGACATGAGTGAATCAGAAACTGGAGTTATGGCGGGAGACTTTGGAGTCCAAAGATTTTAGACTCAGTAGAACTAAAACTGAGTATATGAGATGTGACTTCGGCACTACTACTCGGGAGGAGGAAGATATTAGTTTGGAAGGTCAAGTAGTGCCTAGGAAGGATACCTTACGATATTTAGGATGAATGCTACAGAGAGACGGAGATATTGATGAAGATGTTAGCCATAGAATCAAAGCAGGATGGATGAAGTGGCGCCAAGTATCTGGTGTCCTATGTGACAAAAGGGTACCACAGAAGTTAAAAGGCAAGTTTTATAGGACGGCGATTAGACCTGCTATGTTGTATGGTGCAGAATGTTGGCCTCTGAAAAAGGCGACATGTTCAATGTATAAGTGTCATGAAATGCGTATGTTGCGTTGGATTTGCGGTCATACAAGAAGGGATCGAGTTCGGAACGATGATATACGTGATAGATTAGGGGTAGCACCAATTGAAGAAAAGCTTGTCCAACACCGGTTGAGATGGTTTGGACATGTCCAATGGAGACCTACAGAGGCACCGGTGTGTAGTGGAATCCTAAGCCAGGATAGTAACGTGAAGAGAGGCAAAGGAAGACTGAAGTTGATTTGGGTAGAGGCAATAAAATGAGACTTGAAAGGATAGAATATACCCATAGACTTAGCCTTAGATAGGAGTGCTTAGAAAACAGCTATTCACGTGCCTGAACCTTGATTGCTTCTGCTGGGTTTCAACTCTAGCCTATCCCAACTTGTTTGGGACTTAAAGGCTTTGTTGTTGTTGTTGTCTTCAAGGCAGCTAGATAAGTCTAGATTCTTAACTTTAATTATAAAGAGAACCTGCATTTGAGGGCTTATCTTTTTTGTAGCACTATAAGAAATAGGAATTTTGAACTAATCATGCATTTTAGTCTTCTAATTTAATCATTATGTTACAGGGGAAGTATAAGGTGTACAATCTTTGTTCCGAAAGGCTATATGATGCATCTCTTTTTGAAGGAAAGGTATGGGTTGCTTACCATTTCCACATTTATAGTACACCTAAGGCATGATACTCCCAGTCACCAACAAAAAAAAATGCTAAAAACTTAGTGGCACATCTGCTGATGTATAAAGTGTTCCCATCTTTGTCTCTGTTTCCTTATTGTATTTTGGTAATTTGACAATACTTCTGTGTTCTTATCAGTCTACCCCAACTTGTTTGGGACTTAAAGACTTTGTTGTTGTTGTTGTTGTTGTTGTTGTTGTTGTTGACAATACTTCTGTTGTGCCTTGATGTCAACCGTTTGGTCTTGCAGCATGATGAATTTGTTGGTGTATTATATTGGAAAATCTAATTTTGTGTGCGTATTTCAGGTGGCCTGCTTAGCCTACCCCAACTTGTTTGGGACTTAAAGGCTTTGTTGTTGTTGTTGTTGTTGTTGTTGTATTTCAGGTGGCCTGCTTTCCTTTTGATGATCATAACTGTCCTCCAATACAACTTGTCATATCATTCTGCCATAGTGCCTACTCATGGTTGAAGGAGGATATAGAGAATGTGGTGGTTGTCCATTGCAAAGCTGGTAAGGCAAGGACAGGATTGATGATCTCGAGTCTTCTGCTATTTCTAAAGGTAAGGTTACCATGCATTGTATCTGTATACCAATCAGAATGATACCTACTGCAAAATCTTCACCAAATTTCTTACAATTGGAGTTTTTTCCCCTTTGATAACGGACAGTTCTTTCCTACTGCTGAGGAGTCCATTGAATACTATAACCAGAAAAGATGTGTAGATGGAAAAGGGCTTATTCTCCCAAGTCAGATTGTGAGTGACCCTCATAGTTATGAAAGTTGATCCATATAACTTTTGTCTTTACTGAACATGTTGGGAAAATTGCAGAGATATGTGAAGTATTTCGAGCGCATCTTAACTTACTTCAATGGTGAAAATCAGCCACCCCGAAGGTATTTATTTATACCTTTTCAACCATGGTGTCAAAATGATATCCATGTGTATTTTGCTTTAGTAATTAATCATGTTATTACACTTTCCAGGTGTATGCTTAGAGGGTTTCGTCTTCATAGATGCCCCTATTGGATTAGGCCATCAATTACAGTCTCTAATCACAATGGTGTGTCCACTTAATTGAAACTGAAGTTGCCATATGTCATGATACAATAATTTAAGAATATACTGTGGCTTGATATCTTCTAGTGCATCAATTAATCAATCTGTTATGCAGGTGTTCTTTTTTCTACAAAGAAGCATCCAAGAACAAAAGAACTTATGGTAAGCATCTTCATTTGTGAACCACTCTTATTTTGTGTTCAGTTACTCATAGGTTTATAGTTTCGTCTCTGTTCAGTTTGCTATGGAATATTTGGGTAGCTTATATTATGAATTCTTCATAGTTTGATGCCTGTTTGCATAGTGGGTAAGGGCACTGATGTTTTTATATAGCAATGCTAGATAAAGGAATGTCTCATTGTTTTGGAAGGATATCGTACAACTTGAAGCCAACTTAAATGACTAGTACCACTGACCAATGTATTGATATTTGCATGGCTATGTCTCTTAGTACAGCATATGTTTGATATGCAAACTACGCTTGAGGATAAACTCAAAATATTGCATTGTTTCATGTGTTCCTCTGGACATAAATAACAAGAAGGCATTCCCAGAAGGATGCTTCTCCTTGCTGTCTCTTATCTAAAAAAAATACAATATGTCTTATTTTTCTATGACTTAAAACTAATTTGTACCATTCTAGATATTTATTCATGCATACTTTTATGCTGAACGTTATTCATCTTTAATATCCATTGTAATCTAATTTTACTACCATAATTTCAGCCAGAAGATTTCTGGTTTAGTGCACCAAAGAAGGGGATTATGGTTTTTGCATTGCCGGGAGAACCTGGCTTAGCCGAGGTAGCTGGTGATTTCAAGATCCAGTTTCATGATCGACAGGGAGATTTTTACTGGTGAGCTCCATGTAGTATTAAACTAATAATAATAATATTTCCTAGACATATCTGTGCTCTGTTACTTAATGATTTCATTTTATTTTTATTCCATGTTATGTAAGTTGCGTGCACATGTATATTATCTCGATTGGATGGCACCAACATTTTACATGGGAATCCGGAAAAGAATTATTGTCCTGATATTTAATTTCATTTCTTCCCCTATCGTTTTCAGTTGGCTAAATACAACAATGATGGAGAACAGGGTGACTTTGAATCCAATTGATCTTGATGATTTTGACAAGGTGAAGGCTTATTCATTGTTAATAATATTTATAACTATCTGTGAAGAGCGAATATGAAACTATTTTAACAAGATGTGCCAATAAATCCTGAATTCTTTGTGTTCATACTTTGTTTTTATGATGTCGGATTCAAATGCTAGATACTAGTTTGTTCACACAACTTAAGGTAGTTTTGAGAATGTTCTCCGTATCTTATAGTTGATGCCTTAGTTTTTGTTTTTCCTGATTCTCTTTGTATTTTCAAATCAACTCTCTGCTCCAGGCATTACCATACTGAATATAGCCTCGCCTTGTTTACTTCACTGCGTATACTTCTTTTGCCCGTGCATAAACATTTTATGGTCAGTAGGTGAAGGAAACAGACATTTTATCAACAATTAGTTATTTATCTAAGGATTGCTTATTTTCATTCTGTTATCACTTATCAGTGACAGTTGTTGCCATGTTGTGGCTCTTGTTTTGTTTACCATTTTTTTGGGGGACTTGAAACTAAAATACTTTATAATTTTATCCAGAGAAAATTGCCATCACCTGGATTCCAGGTTGAGGTTGTCCTGGTAGATTACGATGGCTCGCAACCACCAAAACCAAAACCAGCCACTGGACCTGCTGATACTAAATCTGATGCTGATTCCTTGGCTAGCACGGTTGCGAAAGAAAATAATGCTGTACCTGCAGAATCCAACAAGGGAACTGGAAGCAATGATAAAGATGAAGTTTTCTCCGACAGTGACGGGGAGGATGGATCATCCAAGGGAAGAAAGGAGAAGACTGCCGGTGGTGGTCAAAGCAGCGTAAATGCTGCTAAACCATCCCAAACAAGCAACGTGCAGGATGCAGCATCAGCTGCTGCTAGTAGACTGGATAAAGTAGCTATAACTAGCGAACAAGGAACCGCAAAGGCACCTGACGGCACATCTCTCAAAACTGAAGTCAGCAGCAAGGCCAGCTCCACCACACCACCACCTACAGCTGCTGACTCTTCCAGCATGAGCGAATTCAAGGCGATCGCAGCAGATGCCTCAGTGTTCTCATTCGGAGATGAAGATGATTATGAAAGTGAGTAGTGCTTCTATGGGTGTTTGGTTTCCGTTGTACAGTTTGGTGCCCTCTAGGACCCCCCACCACACACACACATCATAGAATGCCAGTTTGAAGCAGCTGGGAAGAGAAATGGAAAGAAGTTAATTCATTCTTGCGTTTGGTCTCCACTGTAGCAGTGTCATCAGTCTGATGTTGTACCCAGATGAAACTTGTAACTCAACCAGGGCTGTACCTTGTTGATACCTCTCCTATTTGTTTACAGAAATACCTTGTACACGAAATTAATTAAACAATGCAATTACTTTTATTAAGAGTTAAAGTGCGTGTCTTTAGGAAGATTCTGTACATGAACTTGTTCAGTGCAATTCATTTCGGCTTGTTTGGATAGTTAGGAAGGATTGGAGGCAAGTCTCAGTTCAAACGTATAACTTGAAATAGATGTTGGAAATTTCCAGTTGAACGCCCTTCGGCCAAACTTTGTCTCCGGCTCATTTGGGAACAATTAAGGTAGTGTACTCTATTTCTGAATAAGTTTTGGTATGTGTCCTGTAATTGCCCCGCTCTCTGATGTTGTGTGCGCTTATAGGCCTTTTCTGAATTAGTTTCTGTATGTGTCGTGTAATTGCCCCGCTCTCTGATGTTGTGTGTGTGCTTATAGGCCTTTTCATGTACAAAAGCTGCCATATTTCCGATGCATCTTTGGTTATGCCAGCTTCTGAGCCTCATTCCATGTATTCGAATCTGCCATGTTTCCAAGCATGGATGGAGTAACGCGTGTGGTGCGTATTTGGTAAGTGTTTGTCTTTTGAAGAGACATCTCTATTTCATGTAAAAGGACGAAGACCTCTAGACGTTTCGAACTCAATCCATGGCATCTTCTACCTTTTCGGTCTCTAGACTTGTTAAGGTGGCACGTCCTGAATGAAAGCCTGTGAGATTTATGTGAGGGTTTTGGCAGGTGAGATCAGCTCATGCTGTTCCTTTATTCCCTGCTTTTCTCATCTTCGATGGCAAGGATTAGAGTTACTGCAAGAGAATCTGGGGAATGGAGGAGCTGGCTACTTCTGGCATAATCTTGTGCTCTATGGTGGATTGGTGCTGTACGTGTGTATTTAAAGAGTTGTACACACCACTAATGCTTCATAATCCCCCCTCGTCGTCAACATCTTGCATGCTTATTCGCAACTGGTAATTTTTAACCCAAAGCCCATACAGGTTTTGTTCTTGATGCCATTTTGTTTGCAATGCAGTCTTGCTGCTACTTGTGCTAACCATGGCAGGTTGTTATCTATGAGATCATCTTGTTGCTTCAATATATGTCTAAGTCAACTTCTTGTTGCTTAGGAGTCGATCAGGCATGGTGAAGATCTGCTGCATCGGCGGCGGCTACGTCGGTGGCCGTGATGGCGCTCAAGTATCCGGCCATCGAGGTGACCGTCGTTGACGTGTCCCGGCCGCGCATCGACGCCTGGAACAGCGACCGCCCCGCGATCCTGGAGCCGGGCCTGGACGCCGTCGTCAGGGCCTGCCGCGGCCGCAATTTCTCCTTAAGCGCCGACGTGGACCGCCACGTCGCCGACGCCGACATCGTCTTCGTGTCCGTCAACACGCCCACCAAGGCGCGCGGCCTCGGCGCCGGCAGGGCGCCCGACCTCGCCTACTGGGAGAGCGCGGCGCGCGTGGTCGCCGCCGCGTCCCGCTCCCGCCCTGGCACGGGCAAGATCGTCGTTGAGAAGTCCGCCGTCCCCGTCAGGACCGCCGAGGCCATGGAGAGGATCCTCGAGGCGAACGCCACCGGAAGCGGCGGAGGCGCGTTCCAGGTCCTTTCGAACCCGGAGTTCTTCTCCGAGGGCACCGCCGTGCGGGACCTTCTCTGCCCCGACCGCGTGGTCATCGGCGGCCGAGCCACCGACGCGGGCGCCGTGCGCGCGCTCGCGGACGTGTACGCGCACTGGGTCCCCGAGGACCGGATCGTCAGCACGGGGCTCCTGTCCGCGGAGCTCGCCAAGCTCGCGGCGAGCGCGCTCCTGGCGCAGCGCGTCTCGTCGGTGAACGCGCTCTCGGCGCTGTGCGAGGCCACGGGCGCCGACGTCTTCGGACGTCGCGCGCGCCGTCGGCAGCGACGGCCGCGTCGGGGGCGGCAGTAGGTTCCTGGACGCCGGCGTCGGGTTGGGCGGGCCGAGCCTCCGTCGGGACGTGCTGAGCCTGGCGTACGCCTGCGAGCGCCACGGCCTGCACGAGGCGGTGGAGTACTGGCGGCAGGTGGTGGCCGTGAACGAGTACCAGAAGGACCGGTTCGTGCGCCGCGTGGTGGCGTCCATGCTCGGCGCCGTGGCCGGCAAGAAGGTGGCCGTGCTGGGGCTCGCGTTCAAGAAGGGCGTGCGCGACACGAGGGAGTCGCCGGCGGTGGACGTGTGCCGGGCCCTGCTGGCCGACGGGGCCCGCGTCAGCGTGTACGACCCGGTGGTAAGCGAGAGGCAGATACGGCGGGACACGGCGGCGCAGGAGGAGGTGGAGGTGGCGAGGGACGCGTACGGGCTCTGTGTGCTGACGGAGTGGGACGAGTTCAGGACGCTGGACTGCCGCCGGGTGTTCGACGTCGTGATGAGGCCGGCGTTCGTCTTCGACGGCCGCAACGTCGTCGACGCCGGGGAGCTCAGGGAGATCGGCTTCGTCGTCAACGCCGTCGGCAAGCCGCTGGACGCCTGGCTCAAGGGCATACCGGCGGTGGCGTAGCCGATCAATCGGTTTCTGATGTATGTAGTGTTGTAGCACTCCTAATAAAATGTAACAAAGCTCAAAAGACTTCTCTTTTGGCAAGTTGTGCTCTAGCTTTTTTTCATTCAGAGACAAATTTCTGATTTGCAAAAGCGGCGCATAGAAAGCACACTGAATGTGAACACTGGGATCCCGTATAGAGACACTACGAGTACTGAACAAAAAGCACTGAATGTGAACACTGGGATCTCGTATAGACATTAGGAATACTGAACAATCCATTCACACAAGATTGAAGATAACATTGCAGAAAAGGCCCCAAGATGCAAAGTTGCATTACTCAAAGGTATGCATGTCTACATTACTATGACAAAATAGAAATCGCATAAACACACAAAGGGCCGGGCAAGTTTATTAATCTCAACTATATATATGCCATGATTAATAACTGCAACGTATATAAATCACTAAATCAGTAGAGCTCTTGTTTGGAACAATAACCTTGTGTAACTAATATTTTATCCAAGGCTGCCGATTGCTATTATTTGCTAGACAGTTGACACCACCACCCTATATATACCTACCTATCTATCTATAAAAGACTATAAATTTGAGGGGGTCACGTCGTGGTTACTGTTCACTATTATTTGCTAGACAGTTGACACCACCACCCTATATATACCTACCTATCTATCTATAAAAAACTATAAATTTGAGGGGGTCACGTCGTGGTTACTGTTCACCGACGCGTCCACAGATCATGTAGATAAACAGTAACGAAACACGATGAACAGTACACGGCCCGCTAAGGAACAGTACCACCTTTTTCGGGTTTTTTTTCCGTCCCATTTTTTTCCCCTTTCCTCTCCTTCCCACGCGAAGCGTGGGGACGCACGCTAGTATATATATATATATGTGTATATGTTACAATCAATAATTCTTCTTGTCTGATCTGTCTGTCCAATCAGAGATTAACAATAAAAGCAACAAATAAACTGATGCATGGATCCATCGAATTAATTAAAGTAATTAATTAGCTACCCATGCCTCATAGCCGGCGGCACCATGTCGTCAAGAAGCCCCTTGTCGACGGCCGCCGGAGCAGCAGCACTGCTAACCGGCGGCGGCGGCAACGTCGTCGTCGTTGACACTGAAGCCACTGGCATGGACGACATGGTAGCCGAGGACGACGACAAGGGATAGCGCGCCTTCGCTAGCAGAAGCTCCTGGTTGTTGCAGTGCAGCAGCGGCGGCCTTAGCAGGTTGCTGTCGCTGTCGTTGAGAGCGTTCTGCTGAGGCGGCGCGGGTGTCGTCGGGAGGAGCAGCGGCGGCAGCAGGTGGCCGTGGTCGGCGTCGCTGCTGGTGGTTGTGCCGCCGTAGAGGTGGTGGTGGTTGTGCTGGTAAGCGGAGGCAGAGAATTGGAATGGCATGTGGTGGTGGCCGCCGCCGGCGGCGGCGGCGAGTGCAGCGGCAACGTGGAGGTGGTGGGCGCGCGGGAAGGCGACGGTGTGGTGGCAGTGCTGGCCCTCGTAGGTGGTGATGACGACGGAGGGGTCGTCGGAGGAGCGCTCCACCCGCTTCTTCACCGTGCACTTGCTGTTGGTGCACCGGTAGTAGCTCCTGCAGGTGCACCGTACATCATCCATCATCCATAACTTAACAATTTTAGAGTTCAATTTTCAGAGCTTCAGATGCAGATGCATGTATCAATCATCAGATGTTCCTTTTGGTTTAAATTTTATTTTATTTTATTTAATTAATTTAATCCATAGACCATCAGTACTATATATTCATGATGCATGTTTGCCAGCGTTCCAATCAGATCATTTCGAATTTTATTTTATTTGATTTCATTTCCTGACCTGTTTATAAGTACCGAAATGTTTATAGGCATCAAGTAGGAGCTCTGCACTTTATATTATACCTAATTGCAATCCGTGTAATATTGAATACCCGTAACTGTTTTAAGTTATCCACGCACATATATATTTGAATGAGCTGAGTGTGATTCATTCATTTATAGAAGGTACAAATTGAATGCTGGAAATCGTACGTACGTAGTATATGCTAATATGCATGCCATTGTCAAATGTTGAATGGATCAAAAATGAAAATTGGACTGTAACTTTTACTTATATATAGAGAGAGAGACAGGGAGACAAATAAACTATATGATGCATGCATTCTCGGTATACTAGCTATATTTATAAATCTATTTTCAGGGACAGTTGTCCTACCGTAACTGAAAAACGTAGGTTTAGAGAGGCAGATTTTTTTTATAACAAAAGAGACCTTGGAAATGATTTTCCTGATACGGTTAAACACCCCCTACAAAGAGACTTAGAAAAATTATATGGTGTAGTACGTGTTGGTTTTAGGAACCAGCCCCAAAATTCATTTTTAACCATGAGAAAAAATCTTTTCTGCTCTAGTGATCAAACAATGATCGCTAAAATTATATATTATCTGAACAATATCAAATTAAAATTGCAGGCACCTGAGAGAGAAATGGGAACATATACATGATGGACATTGCATGGGTATGTACCTGGGGAAGGGGCTGTTCTTGACGGCCTTCTGTCCGTACTTCCTCCATCGGTATCCGTCCTCGAGGTGGTCCACGTCGCTCTTGGTCATGAAGGCGAACCGCGGCTGCCGCGCCCGCTTCTGCCCCGCCGACGACGACTTCGTCGTCTTCCCCGGCGCCGGCGGCTTGCTCCTGCAACCATTTATATATATATATATATGATCACTGCTAATAAAGTAACTCTATTATTTGTGACGTGAAGGTACACGTACGGTGAATTAAGACGGTATGTACGTGCTGCGTGCGCTGCTAGCTGTTATATATCATGGTATAAGTACATGTACGAAAGCCATATATATGCGTGGCCAGTGATGACCTGCTTGTTGCATGCATGTGATGAGATGAAGGTACGTACGTACGTGCAACACCAAACGACCTTACCTGGCTAGCAACAAGCTGCATCGTGCATAGCTTGTTGCAACATGACTTGACAATGCAATCAGTGTCTTATCTATATGTGTATACGTTTCTTATTATTATGATGTGACAAGTACTCTCTCCATTTTAAATTATGAATAGTTTTAATTTTAGGTACATGGTTTTTTCCCTTTATTTGAGAATGTACATGGTTTTTCCCCTATACATATATATAGTAAAAGTTTAAGTATCGATCGAGAAAAGTCAAACTGATTTATAATTTTAGAATAGAGAGGTTATATCGCAAGTAATAATGGGAAAAAATCATAGGCATGTACTATATATTATAATTTTGTATGATAGAAGTTGTGTTTTTCTCGTGAAGATTAAAATTAAAAAGATATATAAAAAGCAAAAGAAATAATAAAACAGAAGGTAAGGCAAGAATAGGAGGGAGGAGGAAAACGCGTGGCTCCATCTTGTGTTATTTATTATTTTGTTATTATTACTATATAGGATGATAGCAGGAGAGTAGTGTGTGTATATATATATATATATATATAATATTTAGTGGCCAACTACAAAATAAGTTATTCTATATAACACATGGAGATGTTTACTTATGATTATTTTAAATACTAATTTACTTATAATGTAAATTAATACATATTTACGATAATTGACAAAATAAGTTATATACACATGGATGATATATATATATATATATATATATATATATATATATATATATATATATATATATATATATATATATATATATATACATAGTAATACATCGTAACATGAGTATAAATTATTCTCATATATTTTGAGTTATTTATAATTACTATATATATTTATATATATATATATATATATATATAAGTATATATATACATATAGATAGATAGATTTGCCGTGACTCACGAGAAACGCGGCGCAACGTCCGCTTCACTTGAATTCCGTTCCGTTCATTCCATTCCCATCCATCCATCCCTCCCGCGCAAATTTACCCAACTGCCCCTCTGTTCCGGCCGTTGCAGTCACAGAGGTCATCAGTAATTAATTAATGTCCCATCCACTTTAAAAAGGTTATGATTTATTATTTTCATAGATTTTATTTATTGTATCTATATATATATATATATATATATATATATATATATATATATATATATATATATATATATATCATATATTTCATCCATGACATATAATTTAGAACGGAGGAAGCAGTAATAATAAGAAGCAAAGCAAAGGTTGAAACAAATCCAACAAACACGCACACTATATATGTGTGTTTTTTATATTAAAAAGAAAATGAAGAGAAGGAAAACAAAAAGAAAGAGGTGAAATGTGCAAATTGATAGCTTGATGCACGTAACAACAAATGCAAACGCCAAAACAAATCAGCTCAAGCGAAACTAAATCCTGAATAAAAAGTAAAGAAACAGAGAAAGAGAAAGATCAGGCGAAATGCGCAATCAGCAGTTACGAATTAGTACTAGGCTAGTGACAGTAACGGGTTTAATTTGGGATCGGAGATGGACATGGACATGAAGAAGAAGCTAGGGAAGGAGCTGCTAGCTAGTGTGAATTGGACTGGTTGAGCATAGGCACTGTCACTTACGCTGCCTCGGTGGCTGCGGCGGCCGCCAGCACCCCGTCGTCGTCGTCCTCCTGCGCGGCGGCGGCGCCGTCGTCGGTGGAGCTGGCCGACGACGCGCCGCCATCCAACGACACGGCGGACCCGGCAGGCGTCGGCATCGTCGTCGCCGCCAGTACCGCCTGCTCCTCCGACGACAGACAGGGTGGCGGAGGTTGCGTGCCCCGATGGTCCTCCGGCGGATCCAGCGGCGGCAGCATCATCGACATCATCATCAGCTCCTCCGTCGTCGTCCCACCGGCGGCGGCCCAGCAACCGGCGAGCTCCGCGAACATCGCCGAGGAGTCGGCGTAGTGCGCGTCGTCGGCCGTGAAGGGCCACTCGCCGCCCCCCACGACGCCCGCTGCTTCACCGCCGCCGGCACCGGCCATGATTGGGTCCAAGGCCGACACACTGCACGTCTGCACGTCGCCGACTCGCTTGCTAGCTTGGGCTTCTTGGCTCCGAACCCGCTAGATCAGCTGCGTGCGTGTGCTATGGTTGCTCCTCGATCGATCTCAGGCTCAGCATGCAGCGGCAGCTAGCGAGCGAGCTTTTCTTCTCTCTCAAAAAAGATTTGGGGGTTTCTCTCGGTCGGCTCTGGGGCCAGTAGTGGCTTTTTCAATTCATTCAGATGTGGATGGTGGTGGTGGTTTGCTACTTTGCTCGCTCGCGAGGGGGTTGTCTCTCCATTTATTTCACTCAGTCACTCTGATTAAGAATATTATTACTAGCGGTGCAGTGAGGGGCTGTCTCTGGAGATCACTGTGGAACCTCAATTTAAAATGGTTCTCCAACATAATACTTATAGCCTCGAATAGAGTACCTATATAGAAGACTCATTTTAGGTGTTAGAATAGGCATAACCCAGATCTAAATATCATCTCTCCTGAAAACCCATTTTGTAGAAAGAATTGTCTTTTAGATTTTGCTACTGGAGAAAACTAAAAATAGATATTAAACTCTCATGAATGAGTCTACGGGATGGAGTACGCGTATGTACTAGCATCAAATTGATTATTCACTTCATTGCTTATTAATTTATTTATTGTTGTGTACCACTTTGATCAATTCCATTAGCTAGCTAGCTAGCTACTCCTATCCTATCCTAGCTATCTCACTCACTCTGCTGGTCCATTCTAGTCATTGTCGATAGTTTAACTCAACTACTCCTTTCTATGTATTCTCTGAATCCGAATAAATAGATTTCTAGCTTAAAAAATTTATCTACAAATAAATTAATTTCTAGAAAGCTAAATAGTTCATCGGCTCATTTATTTTTTTTAAAGTCACCTCGTATTTACTTCACCCTCTCCCACTTCAAACACCCCCCTCTCATCTTCCAATCCAATTTGAGTTTATGTAGTTGGATGTATGTTGTAAATGATATAATTAGTGTGCTATTGGAACAATCGTCAATCGATGTGCAGCTACTCTAGTTAATTAAGAGTAGTATGGTATTTTTACTGTCGTGCTAATCTATAGTAAACCTATAAGAAATCTATTTATTCAGGGAGAGAGAGTGCTACTAGGCTAGAGTACATACAGTACCCCTCTATCTTCTTTTATTAGTATTTAACCTAGATTACTAAGATACCATCATGATGGATTAATTGTTCACCCAGTACCGTGTTTCGTTGGCCATTGTTGCGCACGTTTGATTGGTGGTGGCCTAGGCTCACCTCACCAAAAGCCATGTATGTGCATGCTTAGATCAGTCTTAAGAGCAAGTCTAATAATAGAGCCAAGTATTTAGCTATAAACCAATTTATAATAGTCAAGCTATACAATAGTGGTATATTATTTGTCTATAAGAAACTTTTTTGTTGCTATTTTTATCCATACCTCACTTTCTCTTTCCTAATCCTCCTCACATCCACTTAATGTATGGACCCATCACTGCATATGCTTTCGTGGTCAGCTCGTTGCTTGTATGAGAGCCAAACTCTCCCATGTTTTCTTCTCCACATCGGTATTTGCTTGGCTATAAATCAATATTTTTCTATCATATCAGTCAGGGATGTGCTATATTTTTTTTTTCATTTCTTGTGTTTACTACCATAGAAAACAACAACATTCTTGTTTTACAATATTATTTTTTAGTATTAATGCTTGTTTTAATGATCTAAAAATAAGTTATGAATCAATAAACAATTACAAACTACAAATCATCTTATGTACTAAAAATGTGTTTTATTTTCTGTTTTTAGATTACAATGCAAGTTACTAGTATATGCATAATCAACTATACTCGAGTTGAGCATAGCTCGGCTTGTTGAGTTTTTTTATTGTGGAATCTGTCAACCCAACTTCAAGTCTTTGACTTGTCAGTGCTCGTATTTTTCTAAATTTATTCTAGAATTTAATAGTGTTGTTCTTTCATCAGTGGCAAGTGACGTGCTTGCCGACATTGAGGCGCTTATCATGACTTCGTCAATATAAAGATCTTCCGACTCAGTCTTTTGTAGGTGCTCAGAGGTGTAGGGCGGTGTATGTGTGTTCATAAGGAAGAGTCTCTGCGTCTGTACTGTGATTTAAAAAAACTATGCTTTTGACATCACCATGATGTTAGGTTGCACAAGATATTACTCATTAAATGCTATAATATAAGGTTGTGAAATGCCCCCCTTATGAATATGTAAGGAATTGAAAGAACTTGATGTAAAAAATAAGCTAGGGTGGTATTGTTCACCTTCAAATTTATCGACTTCTAAGCTAAATTGACAATTTAACTCTCTTTATAGAGTTATAGACAAAAAAAGAATGCTCATATACAATTCACTAACTTTTCACACATCTCTTTTATTTTGTCAATCTCCATCATCTATCTATCGATGACATAACTGAAAAGGATAGGACATAAGCTTGCATTTGGCCACCACGAATAGATTGCATGCTAACAACCACTACATACGGACGATACAATGATATATAAGTATCAGTACAAAAAGGAATCAAATCAAGGGAAACTTATAATATGTACAAACAAATAATCAAGAAATTGGTTCGTCGTAAGCTTTCTAATAAAGCCAGGCTGAGTCTTTGATCTAAAAATAATCAAGAATTTTTTGATACAAATAAATGGTGTCGGGTTCATAAACCCGGGATCCCTCATGGACCGGCTTCCCAATGAAGGCTCGGCCCAGCGGACGACATTGCAAACAAACGTGCAACTCATGGGCCGGTCCAAGTACCTAAACAACAGGCCAGAGGGGCGATTCGATCACCGACCGGAAGGTCTGGCCGAGAAGGAACGGCGCCCACTTCTGACTCCGGCCCACCTCTCCGACCGGAGAGCTCGCTTCGGCCTCCAGCCCGCCTCCGGACGGCCTCTCCGGCTGAAAGACCTAGCCAAAGCACTACTTCCGACTCCGACCCGCGTCTCCGACCGGGGGTGCGTCAAACCCTTGCTCATTGCTCTTCTTCAACTGGCGCAATCAGAGCCAACTGGAACCAACTGACCGGGGACGACCGCTCGGTAAGGACCAGGGAACGAACGGAGAAAGCAAGGCGGGGCGCACAAGTCAAACTACGATACTAGAGACCATACCTTGTACACCTATAGAAACCGTACTCTACAACCTCCCTGGCACGATAGAGCCCAAACAGTGTTGTAGGCGCCGACATTTTCCCTCTAGTATTATGAGCGCCATTAACTCCCATACGGTAAGGCTCCCCCCACATGCCTCTGGGCATCAATAGTGTCGTGGGCGCCGGCATTTACCATACCGGGCGAACATGGTAAAACCCCTCACATGCCTCTGGGCATCAACAGTATAGAAGGTACCGACATCTGCCATACCTGAAAAAGACGATGTGACCTCCCACATGCATCTGACACTCAACAGTGTTGTGGGCGCACACCATCATCCTGTACCCGCCGGCGTGGGCAATAAGGCTTAGAAGCATACGTACTCTCTCCCTCTCACTTGTAAGGCCATCCCTTCATCTATAAAAGGGGATGCGCTCTCTCCCAACAGGGAGGTGAAGATATAGATTCAAGTTCATCCAGGTCGATTCAGATTCATTAGATCGATCAAGTTCACTAGCACACAACCATAGAACCGCTAGGTTCGAACCACGAGCACACGCTCGAACACTTAGCTCATAACGGCGCTCCCGTCGCTTTTGGTCCCTCTGACTAGAGTCCGACCGGACCTCTTGTACCCCCCATCTTTCTCCTTCTCGTTTGTAACCCCACTGCAAACTTCGAGCACCTGGGCTCAGGAATAAAGTCACCGACTGACTCAAACTGGACGTAGGGCAGGTTGCCTGAACCAGTATAAACCCTGTGTCATTGAGTGCTAGGCCACCTTCGATCACAACTACACATATTTATGTGTTGGTCACTTTCTGCACCGACAGTTGGCGCCATCCGTGGGGAAGACGCTGTACGTTCAATACTTTTTGGTCATTGGATGGCCCACTTTTCTGCCACCATCGCCATGGCGAGTTCAGGCGATACGATTCGCTTCGTCTCACTGGAGTTTCCCGCACTCCCACCTGTTGGGATATGGGTTCCACTCGTCTCCAAGCCATCCCAGGCCTTCCTCTTCGGAAACCTAGACTTTGTCGCCGACCGGCTCGGCGTACTACACCTCCGCTAGGAGGCTCTCGTTCCGGCGCCCATCGTTGGGGCGCCCTCCATCAGCTCCGGGACGCACGACGACTTCAATGACGAGGCATCTGCGCTTCATTCCGAGCAAACTCTCTGCTCAAACCCCGCTGTAAGTAATATGCACACTATTATTTACTCTCTATTTACTATCTCCCGCTGATTATTCGGAGGGACCGTTCTAACCGCACCATGAACACCGTACGACTGGTTCCCCTGTGGCCTCGCATCCCCCATGGACGTGTGCGCTCGGGGGCTCCAAAGGACGCTGCCGCTATCCCCTCTCACATCCGAATTTGTGGGAATGGCGAGCTATGCTACTACCACTTCCACAAACTCCCGGATGACGAGGGTGAGAGCGACGGCTCCAGCATCGGCGACGTAGCACCTAGCCACCGTCCGTCCCGGGAGTGCGCTATGGCGGACGCTCTGGGACGGCCACCAGTCGTTGCGGAGTCTGTGCAGACTCACACCCCTCCGGACCCACGCGTGGGGCCCTCGCGTTTGTGCAAGTGTACGCCGAGGAACTACGACAATGGCGGTAGAACCAGCTGCCGCCTGTGTCGGTGCGCTCGGTATAGCACGTTGCGCCCCATGCGCATGACCCAATGGGCGGCGCCTGGGGTCGCGCCCGCCAGGTCCAACAAGACATCATAAACGAGGGGAACGACCTCCCACAGTTCTCTCGGGCTAGCCAGAACATCGCTACTGCGGCAATGCTTCTGCGCGGCGTTCCCGAGCCCGTCGATCCCTAGGAGCGGGCTATGTACCGAAACC